ATTTGACACGAAGGTAATAACCTAATAACCTCAAATTTCTGACACCAGCTAGTCAACGTACAGACTAACACACCCTGTGAATTCGGTGTCTCTAGCTCTCTTAGTTTCTGGGGTTTCAGGGTGATCAAATTGACCCCCCACCCCTCCCGGGAGAAGGGCATTCAGCCGGCCATCCGTGCGTGTGTTAGATTATTGCCACACTCAAGGCAAAATGCGACCCGACCCAGCACCAGCTCCGGCCCAGCGCCAGCTCCGACCCAGCGCCAGCTCCGACCCAGCGCCAGCTCCGACCCCGCACCAGCTCCGACCCAGCGCCAGCCCCGACCCAGCACTGGCTCCGACCTAGCACCAGCTTCGACCAAGAGCCAGCTCCGACCCAGCACCAGCTCCGACCCAGCGCCAGCTCCGACCCAGCACCAGCTTCGACCCAGCGCCAGCTCCGACCCAGCGCCAGCTTCGACCCAGCGCCAGCTCCGACCCAGCGCCCAGCTCGGCTGCTAGGTTCTCACCAGAACCAGGGCAGCACCGGCGCAGTACCGGCTCACAGCACCGCCCAACGCCATGGTCGGCGGCGGCGGCGACAGGCGCTGGGTTTGTCAGCTAATGTGACTTGGTGGCATGGGAGTGTGCGTCTGCGTCTGGCATGGGAGTTGGCACGCGTCTGGCATGGGAGTTGAGTCTGCAGACAGGCCCATTTAGAGCCGGCGTCATTCCCGCAGCTTATACACGCCCGCCCCGGTCCGGCTTTGCGTCTCTCGCCAGCCGCCGCGTCACCGCTGACCACTGAAGCCCAGCCGGGCTTCGGGCCACCTACGCCGGGTCCACACTCAGCAGGCCCGGCCACCTACACCGGGTCCACACTCAGCAGGCCCGGCCACCTACACCAGGTCCAAACCCGCTGGGCACGGCCACCTACACCAGGTCCACACTCGCCAGGTCCAGCCACCTAAGCCGGGTCCATACCCGGCGGCAAGCTCACGCCGTCCAAACCATAACGCACGGCGCATACCGAACTATCATAATTGGAAATCTGCCGCTGGTAGGTGGTGCGACTGCGTGAGGCAGCAGCCCGACGAACCCAACGTCGACTGGCACGTGGCGAGTTCAGCTGATCGGAAAACATGGACACAAGCCTCCCGAAGCCACCAAGTGCTGCTCGCGCAATATGTCGCGGCACGCGTCTCTCGGCTCCTAGCTGCGCCGCCGCACGGCTGGTGGACGGGAGCCGAAGCTCGTCAACCGGCGACGGTGGCGCCACCTCTCGCCCCATCGGCGCCACCAGCGCCACCAGAGCTCACACTTGCGACACGACGGACGAGGGCGTGGAGCTCTCCCGCAATACGTGCGATAGACGGCTTCACAGCAACCCGGGAAGTTCCAAAGGAGAGGAAAATTGGTGATTCCATCATCTTGCACGGATGACGCACAATACGCTGAAAGATTCTAACGGCTTTTTCACGAGCAGTGCACCGATCTAAAACGCGTCAAACCCGCCCTAACTCAACACGTCCTTGCCACCCCACGCGCGGGATCAGCTTGGGACTGAACACTAGATCGCATCTCTTCACGAGTGGAGCCAACATCTTCAGTGCCGTCCTCGTGGTGGAAGTCCTGGCAACAGTCATACACCCTGTGTTGAATCAGCATCGCACGCCACGTTGCAAAGGTAGATCAGGCTCTGGCTTCGCTGCCGCGCTGCGATGGCACACTCTTGCGATACGAACGGGTGCCTGAATCTGTTTTCCGTAGTACGCGATTATGCACAATGATGACGGCATCCACTATTACACCGGGACTACCACCAGCACGCACCGGCAGTCCACATCGGCACGGTCGCGGCTCGCTAACGCCTCGGTCTGCGGTGCCCTAGACCTGTATGGCCAGCTGATGGGCAGTCACGGTTCGATAGCAGCCGCCCACCCACTGCCCTAGACCCGTATGGCCAGCTGATGGGCAGTCACGGTTCGATAGCAGCCGCCCACCCACTGCCCTAGACCTGTATGGCCAGCTGATGGGCAGTCACGGTTCGATAACAGCCGCCCATCCACTGCCCTAGACCTGTACGGCCAGTCGAATGGTCGCAGTTTGGTGGCAGGCACCCGTCTGCCACGCCGTTTTTCTAGGAGGCCACGCAGCCTGGCGTACCAATCACCGACCGCCAGCGACAACAGTCCGACGCCAGCCTCGCACTGTTGCCGGACCACACGGCCTAGCGCACCAATCACCGACCGCCGGCGACAACAGTCTGGTGCCAGCCTCGCACTGTTGCCGGATCACGCAGCCTAGCGTACCAATCACCGACCGCGGGCGACAACAGTCCGACGCCAGCCTCGCACTGTTGCCGGATCACGCAGCCTAGCGTACCAATCACCCACCGCCGGCCACAACAGTCTGGTGCCAGCCTCGCACTGTTGCCGGACCACGCGGCCTAGCGTACCAATCACCCACCGCCGGCGACAACAGCCTGGTGCCAGCCTCGCACTGTTGCCGGATCACGCAGCCTAGCGTACCAATCACCGACCGCCGGCGACAACAGTCCGACGCCAGCTTCGCACTGTTGCCGGATCACGCAGCCTAGCGTACCAATCACCGACCGCCAGCGACAACAGTCCGACGCCAGCCTCGCACTGTTGCTGGATCACGCAGCCTAGCGTACCAATCACCGACCGCCGGCGACAACAGTCTGGTGCCAGCCTCGCACTTTTGCCGGACCACGCAGCCTAGCGTACCAATCACCGACCGCCGGCGACAACAGTCTGGTGCCAGCCTCGCACTGTTGCCGGACCACGCAGCCTAGCGTACCAATCACCGCCCGCCCGCAACAACAGTCCGGCGCCAGCTTCGTACTGTGGTCGGGCCACACAGCCTGGCATAGCAATGAGATGAGCCATGGCCAAGGCAATCAAAAATCGCCTTACAGTTGGTCGCAAATCCTGAACAAAACATTTCATCATAATTTGCATTAACCCAGATACGCCATTCCAGAATCAAGTGACAAGGCTGGTTATATGCCTGCTCACACAATCTCACATCAATATTGGTGGTCATAAATCCCCGAGGTAAACAGGTTAGGGTACCCATCTTTGTGTGCACTAACTGGCTGATCCCTTTACTGTGATTGGCCAATTGCCATGTCCTGGCCTCACCACTAATGAACCCATTGTACTACTTGGCTAAACCACAAGGGAAAACATGTCACAGTTTTGTCCATCTGGGTGGTAGAGGTCAGTGACCACATAACAAGCTATCATAAACAAACACTCTGAAAAGTATCTTGAGCACACCATGCACATGCCCACCTATTCTTTAATGGCATGACAGCAATGCCAACAGAGCTGATGATTGCCATATTAGATCATCACTTCCTTGCTTGTTCCTATTTTCCTATTTACCACTTCCCTCTGAATCATGTGTTTGGGAACACAAATTTGAAATGGCACCATGCATTTAAGTTATGTCCTTAAAAGGGCATATAATACCAATCTCACAGCAATGCTGCTGTGATAATCAATGTAAGGCAATGATGCTGACTGGCTCTGATCAGTTCATCTGATCTGATAGTTAATCTGCAATTTAAACTACCTCCACCTACCCTTGTATAAATTAACTTTAACTTTACACAGGCTTGGATTTGATTACTATGGCAAAATGTCAAACAGCCAAGAGCAATTGATATCATAGCTAAGTTAGTTTTATGTTACCAGTTTCAGACCTGTAAGGCAGGTGGCTTAGTCAGCTATAGTTCTCTCATCTTCAGGTGGGTTTCTCATATACAGTGTGTATCTCAAGATGCATTTATCAGGTAATTATTAATTGTGCTAACCATGCAACCAGGTAACTAGGAACCTGTCCACAGGATGACAAACCTAACCCAGTTTCAGATAGGAGGCTTCAGGATGTTTCCCAGAGGTACAGCATAAATTTTGCAAATCTGATCAATTCTAAGAGAAGCTATGTCAACAGAGAAAAATTATAGGTTCTCATCAACTCTGAACAGCACTATGTTCTGTCTTTAAAAATGGATCTACCCTACCAGGCACCTTTACAAACCTGTCCACCAAAATTCATGCTTGTGTGTGCCAAACCCAGACCAGGCAAACAGTGCTGAATGTTCAAATAATCATCAAGCACAAAAATGATTTTGAATTATTTCTCCCTCAAATTACTATAGCAGCATTATTATTGGTATAAATACTGTCTGTGTGCAGAAATTGGTTGCAATGTGGGCCAAACTTTGGTTTTCTTGATCTACTATGGAAATTAACAGAAATTATTGCATCTATATCTCTGCTACAGTCTAACATGCTCAGCATAAAAGCTTTTGTTTACACTCTGGCCCTGTATGTATCAGCTTTCAGGCCCAGCTGCAAAAAATCCATAGATTATGCTGGATGACTATGGAACAGCAGTGCACCGCCTTGAGCCTGCATGCACTGACCTCAGTGCAGACCAAATGTTTCATCCTGTTTAAATCATGCTTAGTTTTCAATTATTTTGTGAACAGATAGTTTGGGAGTATTTTGCCTTAAACTACCTTGGCATGCACCAAACTCTAAGCACCTGAATGTAAGGTGTACATGTCCATTACTATGAGGTCCCTGCTGTGCCAGATATTCCCAGTGTAGCATATACTTTCTGTACCGACCCTCTGGCAGAACCATTTCTGTGTAGTGAACACTGCATTAGCCCATGAATACTGACCATCACCATACAGTAAGTATTAAATAATGTGTTGTTTATGTACCACGAGCAGTATATACATAACATCCGAGGAAGCCTCACACAGTAAATGTAGGTATCCACGGCTCCTTGACTGACTCACCAGGATGCGTTTGTCACACACTTACACTAAGTTTCTACGCCTTACATTACCTTCACCTACACAATTCTCCAAAAGATAAGTCATGTAGAAAAGAATAAAGAGCCAGCCACCCCCAATATATGATGGGATCATGCCCACGAAAACCAACCTCATTGACCTGAGTTGGCCATGAGCTTACCTCCGGATCGTCAAGCTGCATGCCGTCGTATCCCTGGGCCATTCTCGAGATGCTAACAGATACTGTGAAATACCTTCCTCCAAGACAAACAGCAGTCTACACCATAATTCACTGATACAACACCTATTTACCAGACGCCCCCGTCTTCCCGCACCATGTGTGAACTGAAACCTGAACGCGAGCACCAAACCAACATGGCGATGTTTACAAACATTGTGAAATCGTGAGTGACCTTGAAACCTACATTTATTTGAGATAGCGACTAAAATCCAAAGATATCCTCCCCTTTTATTACTGAAAGTTCATTCATCATTTTTAATAGACGAATATCTTATGCATTTTTGTATCGATGACTATTATTTTTGCAATGCTTGGCGTGAGGATGACGTCGGCATATTCATGCTGCCGTAAATTAAACAAGTGTCCCAATCACTTCAATCGAGCGCCTAGGTGGCAATGTTTTATCGGAACAGCGCAGAAAATAACAAAAGGTAAAATCTTTCTACAAATTTTTGGCGGTAGTAAATTTATTACGCTGGTTTCAAAATAACCCTTGATGAAATATACACCAATCAACGCTAAGGACGTGTTGATATCCTTCCTACTCGTCTTCTGTTCGCCACATTAGCCACGTCGGTGGCTTGGCAGACGCGCCGGTACCAAAGCTGATGGAGGCTGGTTCCACATCATTTGCTCCTCTCTTTCAAAATTGAAATGTTGTAGCGTAGCTATCTGTATGTGTTATTAAGTACGTATTAATTGTTTCATTCAGTACACAGCGTCGTTGGAATAGTGGTAAGTAGTTTGCAGATGATGTGTAATAACCTAGCTTATGAGCAGCAATTTGTTTTCTTAAAGTAAGTGTTGCTTGCGTTTTGGGTTTGAAAAACTGGCTTATATTAGGCCTGAAAAGTGTTGTCCTCTTGTTGGATGTCAGTGAAGTTTGCTTATCATCAAGTTGTTTTGGCATTCTTCTTAGGTGCATGGTTAAATAATATGTTTGATGAGGGGTTTTTCAAGTTTTCAACCCTCTTCGGCTGAGTCCAGTCTGTAAAGAAGTTATCCACAGCGCCAGGCAACTGTTAACCTAACCTAACCTCACCTAACCTAACCTAACCTAGTCTAGCCTAGCCTAACAACCTAACCTAACCTAACCTAGCCTAACCTAACCTAACCTAACCCAACCCGCCACCCTATCCCCTTCAACCCAGTGTCCCATTGGCATCCATGTTCCATGCCATATATGTGTATGGTATAAAGAAGTTTTGTTTAGCCACCATATTCTCATTTTGCTTTTCGTTCCCATGCAAAGACGTAATATTTCCCCACCATGTTGACCAATCTACAAACAATGCAGAAGACTGCTTGGATGCACAAGAAGCACATCTTATTGAATTATTGTTACCTTGGCCTCATACATTTGTATGGTTCTTGATGCGCAGTAATGTTGTGATCATGCAGTAATGCTGCAATCACGCCTAGAAATGGTGCCGGGGTCATGATTGCTATGTGTTTGCGCTCGGATGGTCGCTATCATAGTCATTTAAGTTCCAAGGTAAGAGCTTAGATGACCTGTTTTATTATTAATTACGATATGTTCCGCCTTAAAAATGATGATTGATGTACAATGCTCTTTATCAACATGAGGTAGGAATGTATACCCTGACCCATTTGGCTGCCAAACTATGATTGTTCTAATTTGGGATGTATTTGTGCTGCAGTTATGGCTAAGATTTCAGGGTTATGCTGGTCACATTCAGCATGATATGTATTCCTTTGCAGTCTGGAGAAAAGGCATTGCAACTTGTCTTTTGCCATATTGCCATCTGCTAAGCCCAGGCTACTTTTTAACCTCCATGGTCTGGAGGCTTGTCAGTAAAAAGATTGTTGCATGAAGCATGTTTTGAATGGTAGCTAGACCGTGCCTTATATGGCCATCACCAACAAAAATTGAGGCTTTCTCTGTGTAAATGCTTTGAGCCATGATGATCTAAAACACCGCAGATGTCTTCAGGCTTTTTAGGAAGCCTGAGCCTTGCCGAATGCATGGTCTTGTGTCTGTGTGCACTATTCTGGCATATGCAGGGAGGAGATGCCATGGTTCAGGTTGGCATCCAGTTGAATTGATTATCAGGAATGACTCTTGTGGGGCCTTTACTACAGCTGTCTTCTTAACTGTTTTTTGACGTGATGGGGTCTTTAGTACAACAATTTAGATAAAAGCCTGGAACTTCCTGTATAAGACTAGTTCATAATGCGTGAATGAGCCTGGCAGTAAACTGCTGTACTGCACCTAGTAAGTTACTGATAAGCTGAAATTAACTCCATTCTAGCTGGGCAACAACACTAGTTTGCAAAAAATATGTCCATTGCTCTTGTGTATGCAACATCAATCCACTGAACCTTTGCCTCCATGTGCTTAAGTCAGGCCAGATCAAATTGCTAAATCAATGTATGAAGGGTGCAATTGAAATATTTTTGCCTGAAAATACCTTTGCAACATCATTTTGACATGAAGCCTCAACCCGCTATGTGCTGAAAGTGGTAATGGCTGCCTTACTACTTTAGGCATGCTCAGATTCACTATCTAGGATTACTGTGGGATTATTATGTACAAGTGCTAAAACTGAGTACAAAAGTACTGAGAGCAATGTACACAATATGTTGTGGTAACTGGGTTCTTCTACAGCCATGTATCAGTGTTCTTGCCAATCTCAGAAGGAGCACTGGCCACCCAATAGCTATCTGATCTGTATCACTGCTAACCTTTGGATAGCCCTGACCACTGTGTCCAGAGCATGCCTCTGTACTGAGAGCAATGTACACAATATGTTGTGGTAACTGCGTTCTTCTACAGCCATGTATCAGTGTTCTTGCCAAACTCAGAAGGAGCACTGGCCACCGAATAGCTATCTGATCTGTATCACTGCTAACCTCTGGATAGCCCTGACAACTGTGTCCAGAGCATGCCTCTGGAATGTCAGCCTGGAGTCTGTGTCTACAGCAATGTGTCACCCAGAGCTGCTATATGCTAGCTCAGTACCTAGTGTCAAGCCTCACCTGAGGGTTGTCACCATCCAAGGGCAATACTTTTCAATAGTTATGTGCATGCAGCCCAAAAAAAGGCATCAAAGTCATATAAAAATGGAGCCCTTTAGCGAGCATTCTTGATCAGTCCTTGAGAGCCAGGCACATGTCTCCTTCTCAGTTACTCTAGGCTAGCAGGGAGGTGTGCATTGCCAGACATAAGGCTGAGAGGAAGGCATCAGTTGTGGGGCATCAGGCTAAGAAGGAGATGCTGATGGACGGACCATGTCTTCACCACATCCATGTTCTTTTAGTGTTATCAGTTGTGGCTTTGTACATTATTTTTTGTTGGTTGTTAGATAAAAGCAATGGTTAGGGAAAATCTTCATTCTGAATTATGTCTATGTGACCAGTTGTTGGGGGAAATTAGTTAATTGTTAAGCATGTTGTTTTTTATCTCAAGGCTGTTTTAGTCACATGGTGAAAAAAATTGTTGAAAGTATATAAAACTGGTGTCATCTGATGATTTGTTTGATATAGCTCCTAGAACATAAGCAGTACTACTTTACTGTTAGCTTGGTTTTCATTGATATGTCACTGATACAGCTGAGGCTCAGCCTTCTTGGGCTGCTGTATATCATTCATACCCAATGTTGCTTAACATGTTTTATTCTGTTTCAGTCACTGAGGAGAAAACACAGCATCTTGGGTGCTGAACAGTGCATATAAAAAACACTTCCATCATGAAGTCAGATAATCAACCAGGATACATTATTTTGTTGCTCTCTTGTCTCTCTTCAGTGCAAGGTAAATATTTTAAGTGTCTTACCATGTCAGGGCTATGCCATTTCTGGGTGGTATGAGTGGTGTCATCATTAAGCAAACTGAAAAAATGATGTTTGTGGAGATGGATGTGCGCTGCTGCTGTTTTGCGCGTGGCGCACGCCGGAGTGGCCATCACCGACCTCTGACGCGTCCCGTCCCGTCCCGTCCCGTTCGGGCAGGCTCGTTACGTGTGGACGACGTGACGTGCGGCTCGGTGGTGAAGCTGATGAACACGGCGTACAAGTCGCGGCTGCACTCGCACGACGTCAAGTACGGCTCTGGCAGCGGCCAGCAGAGCGTCACCGGCGTCGAGGATCAGGACGACGTCAACAGCCACTGGTCGCTGATGGGCGCCTCCGGCAAGCACTGCGACCGCGGGTGAGGGCGGACGCGCGGTACATGGTGCAGCCGAAGGGAGAGGCGGTCGGCGGGGTGTCTGATGGCACGTTAAACGTATGGGGATAATTCTTGAGGTGAGACCAATCCAGGGGATCACAGTTCCAGGGCGACGGCTGGCTGACTGACGGACAGGGGTACTTATCCGCATGGTCGGAGGGTTATTCGGAGGGTCGCGCGGCACTGCTGCCACGCAGGCAAAGCGGTTAGCCATTGATGATAATCGCTGATGATTGTCAGATCAGTGTCTGGATGGATGCTGCTCATCAGAGGGCATAATCTGCCATTTTTGAACAATAATTTGAGTCATCGCGATTAAGAGCAGCCAGTGCATTGCTGGGAAAGTTAGAACTTGTGGCATTGCTGTGGCATTTGCGTGATGATCTGTGCACATAGACGTCAGTTGGTGTCTTTGCAGTCCCATCCTCTGGTATGTTCTCCACTATGGACAAATGAAGTAGTGTGTTTTATGAGTTGTATTGTGTGCGGGGCGTAGTTTCGCAAAATACGTAGGGAGGGGGGACTGAACAGTGAAAAATAACCCAAGGTGCCTCCAAAATATGCCAGCGAACAGATTTCTCCCCCCCCCCCCCCATTTTGTCCACCTTCTTTCCAAGGTTTGGGGCTGAAGCCTTTCCCCGTCCCCGCCCACAAACCGAAAAGGAAACTACACTTCTGATCGCACGGTGACTTTGGGGCACGAGTACTGGCGACGCAAAGCTTATTGCGTGCGTCGTGCACCCACTACCCTAGTTGTACTGCCCAGTTCGATGGAGAATTTTGCATCCGCCTTTGGCCGCACAAGACTGGAGAACTGCACGTGCTGCACAATATTCGGCTGCTGAGATCACCCTCGTTGGCCAGTTGCCACCTGACCTTTCAGTGTCCGTCGGTCCAAGCAGCGCGCCCGCTCCGGGTTTAGTACACAACGCCGCTGTATAATTACTGGTGACGGGCCCAGTACCTGTTCAGTAGACCTCGCACGTAAAGCGGATCAGTTGGAGAAGTGATTTACAACGATATACTTGATCTATGTAGAGTAGTGAACGCTCTGTTTAGCTGCATCATTTCGCTGAGCAAACTTGGTTTGACATGTCCTGAACGCTCTTGTCCCAGTGAGCCGTTACCGTGTGGAACGAAGCTGCGACTGCAGCACCTGACCACCAAGAAGTTCCTTCACTCCCATCACTTCTCGTCACCTCTGTCGAGGAATCAAGAAGTTTCGGCGTTCGGAACTAAAGGTAGGTCTGATTTAAGGCATTGTTGTACGCGCTATTGTGGGTGAACCAACCGGTAGTTACTCCCTGCTAGAAATGTGTCGGATGCGTTGTGCTGGCGTGTAGCGCCCTTGTGCCCCTGACTGTCCCCGTGTTGACTGCGGCCGGCGGTCCGCTGCGCCGCGCCGCCGGCTGTGCCCCTGTCTGTCCCTGTGTTTACGGCAGACGGCCGGCGGTCCGCTGCGCCACGCCGCCGGCTGTGCCCCTGTCTGTCCCTGTGTTCACGGCAGACGGCCGGCGGTCCGCTGCGCTGCGCCGCCGGCTGTGCCCCTGTCTGTCCCTGTGTTTACGGCAGACGGCCGGCGGTCCGCTGCGCCACGCCGCCGGCTGTGCCCCTGCCTGTCCCTGTGTTCACGGCAGACGGCCGGCGGTTCGCTGCGCTGCGCCGCCGGCTGTGCCCCTGTCTGTCCCTGTGTTTACGGCAGACGGCCGGCGGTCCGCTGCGCCGCGCCGCCGGCTGTGCCCCTTTCTGTCCCTGTGTTTACGGCAGACGGCCGGCGGTCCGCTGCGCCACGCCGCCGGCTGTGCCCCTTTCTGTCCCTGTGTTTACGGCAGACGGCCGGCGGTCCGCTGCGCCACGCCACCGGCTGTGCCCCTGTCTGTCCCTGTGTTTACGGCAGACGGCCGGCAGTGCGCAGCGCCACGCCGCTGCTGCGCCCCTGTCTGTCCCCGTGTTGACTGCGGCCGGCAGTCCGCAGCCTCCGGTCTGGCGCTGTTGGCCGCTGGACCGTGCCGTGCCGTGCCGTGCCGTGCCGTGCCGCGGCCGGTGACGGGTGACTGGTGCGTGCCCGGCAGGCGAGGGTGACTCGGGCGACAACTGGGAGCTGGTCTGCTCGGGCGACGACTGGCGCCGGGGCGACACGGTCATGCTCCGACACGTGGACACGGGCGCGTGAGTACAACGTTCCAAGATTCATCCACTAGGGTGTGCAGGATGTAGATATAAATTCGTGCTACCAGAATCCTGCCTCTTCGGCGGTCCCCGCACACAATTCATCTGCGCTAATCCCTTGCCCTTCGACCCGACCCGGACATCTGACCTACTCAGTCCATTTGTCAAACCTAAGGCGCATCAATACTGGTTAGACAGCCGCCCGGTTCGATGCGGATTGGCCGATTTTGAGCAACGGGAGGGGCCACTGACAGTGAGCTCAAAGCCGGCGTTGTAGCTTGAAAAAATATCGACGTCTCTGCCACCCAAGTGGCCGAGTATTGGAACACTGCGTGAGTTGGTTAACTCGCCGCTGCCGCCGGCCACGCCAGCCGGTCAGGGGCGCCGATAGAGGCACGGACGGAACAGCAGTTACTGCAGGACTGAACGCCCGATGTTGGAGCGTGTCGTACTAGCGTGTGCAGGATGGCAATGACTGAGTGAGGTCCAGGCGTGGCATGGCGTGCTGTTGATCTTCATCAGTGTGCCACTGGGCGGCCGCTGTGACACTGGTGACTCTGGCCGAGCTGTTCCGGTCCGCTGCCGCCGGCCAGCCGGTCCGAGACGGGTTCACATGCTGACGGGTGGGCGCCGCCGCCGCTGGCAGGTACCTGGCCATGTCGGGCCACAGCTTCGGCCGGCCCATCTCCGGCCAGATGGAGGTGGTGGGCATCACCTCTCCGGACACCACCGCCAAGTGGAAGGTGCAAGAGGGCGTTTACATCAAGCCGGCGTCCGACCATCACCACAACGACGGCCACGACGAGCTCTAGCGAGATCTGCTGTGATAGCCGTGTACGGAGGCGCGCGAGCGTATTTATTTGGCGTGCGGCAGGGATGTGGAGGTGACGGCAGGATGCCCCGGCTGGAGAGGCGGCTCATGGACGGTATCGGGAGCGGTGCAGGGCTGGGCTCTGCCTGTGGACCAGTCGGCGGCGGCAGTGGTGAAGTCCAATGGCCAGACTCGCGCGGCCTGGGCCGCCACCAACCCACCGGTGCCCGGTCAGGGGCTGGCAGGGAGACAGGTCAGCGGCGTTTGGGCGCGCTCGGGTCGCGGCATAAAACAACGTGACGTCCGCTTCCGGTCTTGTCATGAAGCGTGTCTTGCAGTCAGTCCATGTCTCGGGAGTGAGTTTTGTTGGCTTGCGTGCCATGGATGGCATCGTAGTTGTTTTGTTCGGAACGGGAACAGTGATTCTGCACTGCACGACTGTTGAAACATGTAATGGGCATGTGCACTCCGTTTCGCAGACACTGAGCGGGGAATAAACATCTGTTAGTCCAAGCACGACTCACGTCAAAATGCATTTTTCGCCAAATACGTGTTGGCGCTTCTTCTTTCCGTGCCAGCCATTGCAATGTATGAAGGACTCCTTTCGACTATCTAATGGGTGTTGTTCCGCTCACTACTCATGGGACGTGTGGACCGCGGCACTACATGTTCGTGCGCTGTGTGATACGACATCCGGTTGTTTTCGTTGTCCTCAAACCTGTCGTTACAAATTACCTCGTGTGTCACTGAATAATCGTGCCGTCTCACAGTGACTGCGTGTTTACACTGCAAATGGAAAGTGTACTGGGATCTCTGTCTGCCGGTCTCCCCACGGCACCGGCTGTCGGCATCCCGCGCACGCGCTGGATCCCAATCTACCTTGTCTTCGAGCCCGTGCCGTCAGATAAGGCTGGTCTCAGCGGGCCCGGGCCCGTGCCGTCAGATAAGGCTGGTCTCAGCGGGCCCGAGCCCGTGCCGTCAGATAAGGCTGGTCTCAGCGGGCCCGGGCCCGTGCCGTCAGATAAGGCTGGTCTCAGCGGACCCGAAGAAAGCACTTCAGAACACTCCACGCTTCGAGCGGAGAGCGGAGACCAGTATGCGAACAATGTGCCTGTACAACTGGAGCCGCATGATTACGAGAACGGCTTAAATGTTTCCTCGTCAGACATCCTTTGCTAGCTGGGTCGTTCCGTACATGTGTTGGAAAGACGCCAATCGCCGGAATTTTTCGCCGTCTACATGGGCGATGTATCAAGTGTGCTTCAGGGCGTCGCTCGGGTGCTCTTCTTGCCTGAAAATGTAATGAAGGTCAGTCTTACTTCGCTGGTGTACGTGGTATTGGAGTAGGCTTCGCTGCTGCTCACTGAAGTGGTGCTCAGTTTGCTGAACGGCGCACAAAGCAGCGTCTGGTAAACGGCAAAGCTGACGGCTTGCCATCAGTCAGATGGCAATCGTCGGGAGGCCGGCTTGCCATCAGTCAGATGGCAATCGTCGGGAGGCCGGCTTGCCATCAGTCAGATGGCGATCGTCGGGAGGCTTATGGCGGCGGCTGCCTCCCACCCTGGCAGGAAAGGTGGCAGCGCCGGGGATCGAACCCCTCACCCCTGGTTTTGAAGGCACGCGGCGTGAATAGGACAAGTGTCGGAATGGCGAAAATTTGCATGACGAAATTAGCGTCAATATTACCTACCGTACCTGCAGGGTTTCCCATGCAGTGACAGGAAGACGGATTGGCTCTGCCCTTGACCTTACTCGTAACAAGGGTTCTCACCTTCAAAAATCAATGTGGGGGGGGGGGGGGGGGCTCAGCCGAGACGGTTGACTTAACCTACCCGAAAACCTAGTTTCCTCGGGGTTTTGGTCACTTGGACTTCGTCTCCGCGTTGAAATTTAAATTAAACTGGATATTTCGTGGACTCAAAACCGTTTTCCTGTTGGGGAATGGCTTCCCACTTCAAGTTACGGTGGGCCGTCGTGCAAGGCTAGGAATGGGGCGTTACGGAGAGACGTAGTAAATCTTAGCGAGCAATCGCTGACGGCAAGCGCTGCCGCTGATTGTGTTGCGCAACCATCGTGGCCGCAATTGTGTAATAAATGTGCCTGTCACTGTTGAAGAATGCACGAATTAGGCTTTACCTGGGATACCCTGTACTTACCTACCGCTACTACTTAGCTACCGCGTAATGCAGTATATTGTTTGTTTAAATGTGGGCGTTATCAAAGGAAAAACGTGTCCAAGACTGGCTTAACTGGCTTATCATAAGAAGAATCTCGTATGACAAAAACACTACATGCGTACATGATGCAGTTTGGTGCAAACTTAGCATGATGTTTATAGTGACGTGTTCAGGTACCTCCTGCCTTTTATACCAAACGTTAAGCTAATTGTTTTGTAAATATTTTGCGCAGTATTTCCCAGTTGCTCATATGCACTGAGGGGACTCAGAGACCACTGGAGGAGGGGGGAGCTGAGAGGACGACTGGGGGGGCCTCATATGCACTGAGGGGACTCAGAGACCACTGGAGGAGGGGGGAGCTGAGAGGACGACTGGGAGTGGGGGGGCGAGAGAAGCATTGGGCAGGGCTCAAGTCAGCATAGGGGACTCAGAGACCACTGGAGGAGGGGGGAGCTGAGAGGACGACTGGGGGGGGGGGGGGGGGGGCCGAGAGAAGCATTGGGGCAGGGCTCAAGTCAGCATAGGGGGCTCAGTGCTCCCCGAAATTATATGAGGTGACGACGAATATGAACTGTGTTGTATACCAGCTAGAACGTCACGCCAACTGGCGGTTCCATTTGTTGCTGCGCGCCTCAGTACTCTCCTTAGCGCTGCACTTTCCCCGGCATTTTGGTAAAATGAAACGCATATGCATGTTTCGCTCGCCGCGAGCGACATGTAATAAAATGCGCTGTCATCTAGTAGTTAGTACGAGAACGAGCACTATAGAACAAATACTAGTCATATGGGGAATGCCTCATTTCATCCATGCTCCAATGTCCACCGAGGGGAAGTCGCATCAGTTCCATCAGCCAGCATACGGGTTGCCGCACTGGCAAATGGGACAGCCTCGTCGGTTGTAGGTGACGCCACAGTCGGCCGGGCACTGGCGCTGCCGACAGGAGGCCGGCACGGGACGCGGTGTGGGCGTGGGCGGGCCGCCGCAGTCGCAGGACGGGCAGCCGTCGGCGCCGGGCTTCTGCCCGCAGTCGGCCGGGCAGCGCGGCACGGGGCAGCGGGCAGTGTCGGGCGTGATCGGCGTCGCTCCGCACGGGCAGATCAGGCAGCCGCGCGAGTCGGTGCTTTCGCCACAGAACGCGGGGCAATAGCTGCCCGGCGGAGGGCAGTCGCCGCCGGCGGGAGGAAGAGGCTTGGCCCCGCACGTGCACACCACACAGCCCTGGGAGTTGGTTATCTGTCCACAGTCTGCGGGACATGTGCTGCCCTGGGGAGCACACTCGTCGGAGGGCCTAGGGGGCAGAGGCTTGGCCCCGCACGTGCACACCACACAGCCCTGGGAGTTGGTTATCTGTCCACAGTCTGCGGGACATGTGCTGCCCTGGGGAGCACACTCGTCGGAGGGCCTAGGGGGCAGAGGCTTGGCCCCACACGTGCACACCACACAGCCCTGGGAGTTGGTTATCTGTCCACAGTCTGCGGGACATGTGCTGCCTTGGGGAGCACACTCGTCGGAGGGCCTAGGGGGCAGAGGCTTGGCCCCACACGTGCACACCACACAGCCCTGGGAGTTGGTTATCTGTCCACAGTCTGCGGGACATGTGCTGCCCTGGGGAGCACACTCGTCGGAGGGCCTAGGGGGCAGAGGCTTGGCCCCACACGTGCACACCACACAGCCCTGGGAGTTGGTTATCTGTCCACAGTCTGCGGGACATGTGCTGCCCTGGGGAGCACACTCGTCGGAGGGCCTAGGGGGCAGAGGCTTGGCCCCACACGTGCACACCACACAGCCCTGGGAGTTGGTTATCTGTCCACAGTCTGCGGGACATGTGCTGCCTTGGGGAGCACACTCGTCGGAGGGCCTAGGGGGCAGAGGCTTGGCCCCACACGTGCACACCACACAGCCCTGGGAGTTGGTTATCTGTCCACAGTCTGCGGGACATGTGCTGCCCTGGGGAGCACACTCGTCGGAGGGCCTCGGGGGCAGAGGCTTGGCCCCACACGTGCACACCACACAGCCCTGGGAGTTGGTTATCTGTCCACAGTCTGCGGGACATGTGCTGCCCTGGGGAGCACACTCGTCGGAGGGCCTAGGGGGCAGAGGCTTGGCCCCACACGTGCACACCACACAGCCCTGGGAGTTGGTTATCTGTCCACAGTCTGCGGGACATGTGCTGCCTTGGGGAGCACACTCGTCGGAGGGCCGAGGGGGCAGAGGCTTGGCCCCGCACGTGCACACCACACAGCCCTGGGAGTTGGTTATCTTTCCACAGTCTGCGGGACATGTGCTGCCTTGGGGAGCACATTCGTTGGAGGGCGGCGGTGGGATGGGTTTAGCTCCGCAGCTGCAGTGGAGGCAGCCGCCGGCGCTGACGTCCCTGCCGCAGTCGGCCGGACAGATGTAGTTCTGCGGCGCACAGGCCGTGGCCGGCGGCACGGGCCGCGCGCCGCACGTACACCGGACGCAGCCGCGCTCGTCCGCCACCTTTCCACAGCCCGCCGGGCAGGTGCTGTCTGCAGGAGCGCACTGACCGCCCACCAGACCTGCGAACAGCGACACCGAGAGGGCGGCGTCAGGGTGGGGGCCGCCACCGGCAGCGCTGCTCGGGTCCGCGGGCCAGCGGCCGGCGCCGGCCCAGAGCGGCCGCGATGGTCTGTAGCGCAGCAGCAGCGGAGGCGTCCCTGGTGTCGGGGTCTGGAGCATCATCAGTGTCGTGGCAGAAGGGGCGTCGCAGTCCGTCGATGCCGCTTGCCGTTGGTGACCAGCGCCGGCGGGCCCGGCCGGGCGGGGTCTGGAGCAGCGTCAGTGTCGTCGCAGTCCGTCGATGCCGCTCGCCGTTGGTGACCAGCGCCGGCGGGCCCGGCTGGGCGGGGTCTGGAGCAGCGTCAGTGTCGTCGCAGTCCGTCGATGCCGCTCGCCGTTGGTGACCAGCGCCGACGGGCCCGGCCGGGCGGGGTCTGGAGCAGCGTCAGTGTCGTCGCAGTCCGTCGATGCCGCTCGCCGTTGGTGACCAGCGCCGGCGGGCCCGGCTGGACGGGGTCTGGAGCAGCGTCAGTGTCGTCGCAGTCCGTCGATGCCGCTCGCCGTTGGTGACCAGCGCCGGCGGGCCCGGCTGGACGGGGCTGTTAGCGCCATCGCCGTCACTGTCAACCGCTGCCCGGCCCCCAGCGTGGGGTGCGCCGACATTCGACGGTTGTTGTGCGGACCGCCGCGTAATCTGATTGCATGCCTCAACAATAGCCTTTCAAGGACCAGGTGACCTCGTCACATCTTGTGATTACCATTTCTGCAGCGTAATTTGGAGGGTTGCGTGCGCGCGTGGGCTGCATTTACAATGTTGACAGCGCAGGATTTGTCCTTGTAGATGCGAGACACGTCAACTCAAAGCCACCTCAAGCGAGACGAAGGCGAAGCGACGGTTGGGTATGACGGCTGCCTCGGCTGTCAGCCCCGCGCGACTTCTTACAGTCCGAGCACACCTGCCTTGTGCGATCACACCTGCCTTGTGCGACCTGCCTTGCCTCTTACGGATACGCCATAAGTCTGGGTTAATCAATGATGGCTGCCGTGTTCCACCGCTGTCCTGTGGTTTTGGAACAGTATGCAAAGGAAAAAACCAAACCTTGCGCTGTCAACTCTTCGATTGGAGACCACGCACACTTTCAACAAACTTCCAGTTGCGAAGCCGTGAACTGGTTGGGTGCGAACAACTCAGTACATTTAAAAACAATTGGCAGCCAATTACTCGACATGAAATTGAAATTTCTCCATTTTTTGTCAGCAGATAAGCGTTCACGGAAACGTGTAGCAAAAACTATCATAAGCTGTATGTGACAAGACGAATCGCCCGCCGGTGTGCATAAAACTTCGGAGAAAAGTCCTGCGCTATTGACCGCTCTTCGTTGCTGGACCTCCAACTTCATCGAAAACATACTGTATAATTGTTTTAATGATTCGATGACATACGGCTAGCAATGCACACTGGTATGACTACCGCAGGCAAAGTCTGCCGTCAGGTTCGCTCTAAGTCCCGTCCTCGCAATAAACTAGACATTCCGATCGAGCGCGGGCAGGCAACTCTCTGGCACTGTGGGCGGTCACACCTGATTAGGGTGCAGCATATGGATTTCATGGGACCTGACGTGATTTGGTACCACAGGAGCCCACTACCTTTCTACGCTCATGGCCACAGCCTTCAGATCTCACACGAAACCCTTAACAAGCTTCGAACATCTACCGCTCCGCTCGAAGAGCGAGTCACACATGTGGCAGAAAGTCACGTGGCGGCCTTGGCACGTTGGAAACCCCACCAGCTTGAAGGCAACGCGTTCGCAGGCATTCCCATGGTCACCTTAATACACAAGCTGCCATGACTGGCCGTGAATTCCGTGGGCTGCTAATAACGCCCCAGATTTGATCACGCCGTGCGACAGACGCCCAAATGTAATGACTCACGAGTCGAGGGCAGGCGCCCGAGGCGCGCCTCGTCATCTCACGCGCAGCGCCGGACCTCGTCGGCCCTGACCCTGACGCCAGCGACAGCGCAGCACGGTGACACGCCGGCAGCTGTTCCTGCCGTCCAAGGATGCCGTCTGTCGGTGCTGGCCACGCACAGGGAGGCGGCCAGCTGACCCATTTCTCCGCTGGCTCCCCTCGGTCGGAAGCCGCGGCCTTGGTGCGCCTGAGGTCCGTGTTGTACTGTCCGGGTCGGCCGTCGGCTGTGGCCCCAGTTGCGTCAGGGGTCCCGCCTGACGACGGCCGGTCAGAGCCGTCGCGACGACACGACACAGGTGTCGCGACGACACCTGTAAGGCTGTCGGTTATGACCCCAGTTGCGTCAGGGTACCGACTGACGCCGGCCGGCCAGAAACGTCATCGCGACACCTCTGGGACCATAACCGACGGCCGGCCAGAGATGTCGTCGCGACACCTCTGGCCTAGGACGCCATCAAAGCCTAGGCTGCGTTCGTGAGGCGTCGCGGCCTCATGACGCTCGTCCATCAGCGGCTGGCTCCTGCAAGCACCTAGATCCACCGCTGCTGTCATCGAGGTCATACATGTGGGCTTACATTCATGTGGGGGGCCTCGCTCCCCATGTTTGCTTCGCCTTTTGCTCCCTCCCTAATATGCAGCCCACTCACCCAACGTCAAATGGGCTCTGATGACAAGAATCAATTTTCGGGCCTTCTCGGGAACACTTCATTGAACATTGCACCAGTGCGGACGAACATGGCCCGTGGGAGTTAATAACAGCCATTTGCCGCCCTGACCCTGCTCACACTTTCACTGCGTCCCGCCCGCGGCGCGGTGCGCCAGTGCGCGTGCTGACCGCCTCGTCTAGACCCCGCCTCGGGCTGCCGCCGGCGCGGCGACCCCTGACTGCCGGCCGGTCAGCCGAGGGTCAGCTCCGAGCGCGCCGCGGCTGTCACCGGCCGAACGAGCGGCGCCGCTCGCTGGCGCCACTTTCGGGGCCGGATGTCACCGCTGCTGAGCGTGTCATGGGAGCGAGGTGGCCGTGTCGTTGGAGCGAGGCGCCGCCAGCTGCTGCGACGGCTGGCGCCGCCGCTGATAATGGCCAGACGACGGCCCGAATCGGCAGAGTTTCTGGTGGCCCACCTCCCGGAGGCGGTCTGGACTCGGACTCAAACTGCGGCTTTAAAAGACAGAGGACTGTAACTCGGACCCAGATCTCAGTGATTGCGAATCACAAGAGCGATTTTGAGAAATCATATACATATAATTCTGGCCGTCGCAAACCTTTTATTCGGACTTAAGTGAACTGACACTGAACTCAGAATAAACTCCACCAAAAGACTTGTAACCTTACTTTGTACCGTTTGGTATGGTTGTAGTCTAACCATTTGACCTTAGTTATAAGATATGCATGAACAACACCAGAATAGTTTTGATGTACATTCAACGAAAGACACCTGTTAAAAACACGTTTTCGATAGCAAAAGCATGCCCTTAAATACCTTCTTGGCTTAGAGAGTTTGGGTTAAATAGTTTGGAGGTGTCAAAGTCGGTTCCGTTTGGTCTGGTTAGGTCTCATGGCGCTAAGACCCATGACCATTTTTGTCCTAAACGATTTTGCCCCCGGATGTCCATAGTCATCACGATATTTGCCACATGATCCTGTGAGATTCTGATGGATTTGGCTTCGGGCTCAGGGTCATATGACTCGGATCCGAGTACCTAGGACTCAGACTACACTCATGTACAGCGGGACGGAAGGAACCTTACCTTTGACTCGGGATCCTAGGGTTCAAGACTCGGACTTGGATAAGAGACGCCGGGGACAGGACTCGGAATCCGTTTTTTTGTGCTCAGGCCCAGGGCTGTCAGGTCGAGGCTGAAGTGAGATCGACGGGCTCGGGAAGCTGCGAGTGGCAGGCACTGTCAATTCAAATAACTTGGAAGTGGCTGCTGTCAGCTTTACTTCATTCTCCGTGCAGAACTTCGCAATCGCTTCTTGTCACGTCATGCATTCACACCAACTGCGCCATTCCGTAAATCATGTTGTAGCTTTCGTACAGTTTGTGCGCATATGCCATTAAATCACTTATAGCAGGTGAAGTTACCATATCCTTCCGATATTTAACGTGTATTTGAATCAACGATAAGTCGATACGCACATTAGCCATTAGAAATTCCTCGGAACCGCTAGCGAACAAAATAAATATGATAATTCATAAACAGCGAGCACGCATCCAAACTATTAAACTAGGCCTGACAAAATCCATTGCGGTAATGTAAATGCTGCGAGAAATCTCAGACTTTTCACTTTGACGCAATGTAAAAGAGATGGCAGCACATACCGTGGTCGCATTTTCATGGTCAGAATAGCACGCCTGGACACCACATCTCACCACGAAGGGAAGTGGACCGATCACAGGAGTCGACATCCATTGGCTCGCGTAGAAATCGAAAAATAAAAGATGGATATTGATGTAGCAGTCATGCATAATCAGTAGATGGAATGAGAAAGGTCTACGAAGAAGTCATGCAGGTCCCACTAGCGACCATTTACAGCATGCACATCGATGCAGCTGCCCAGGCGCGGCGGTGTCGAGTCGTGCCCTTCGCTCCGAGCCGCTCCGACCGGGCTCAACGGCCCAGGAACTGCTGAAACCCACCGCACTGGCGCCGAGAGCAGGCGAAGCGACCGTTGTCGCAGAAGCACGTGTTGCAGTCCTGCTGGAACGACTCGCCGGGCCGGCAGAAACCTCCCTCCTGCTGTCCGCCGCCGCCGCCGTTGCCGCCGCCGCACTGGCGCCGAGAGCAGGCGAAGCGACCGTTGTCGCAGAAGCAGGTGTTGCAATCCTGCTGGAACGACTCGCCGGGCCGGCAGAAGCCTCCCTCCTGCTGGCCGCCGCCGCCGCTGCTTGCCGCCCAGGCAGAAGCGGTTCGTGCACTGGAACCGTCCGCCCTTGCACGTGCACGTGTTGCACTGTTGCTGCACGCGCTGGCCCTCGCGGCACTGGTTGGTGGACGGGGCCGCTGAGCATTCGATCAACGTGCAAGCAATGCGGCCGTTGATGCAGTTGCAGGTGTTACAGTCGCGCTGGAACTGTTGACCAGGGAAGCACTCTGCCGGCTGAGGCGTGGTGGTGCCTGCAAACCAGCCGGAGCGTCTCACACGGCCGTCCGCCGGGCGGCAGTGGCGTCTCCAGGGAGGACAGGACCCGCTTACTGGTGCCGGCGAACGCTTACTCCCTGAACACGTCACTGCCAGAAAGCACGCCATGCGAACTAAGTACGGGTTATACATTTCTCGGAAGTAATGTCAAATCAACACCGGCGGGCGGCGACAGGACCGAACGCGGCAGTACGCGCAAGACAATGAGTAAGTACTGCTGAGCACTGCATGGTTAGGCGGTCGCCTGCGGGATAACGTTAGGCGGTGTTTTGTTAGAAATGTTATCGCGCAGGGCCGTGTGTGTGCATGCCGTTTAGCAATGCTACATGTGCGTAATGCTCGTGCATACATAACCGCACATACATATCCACAGCAGCTTCCCACTCCTTTGGCTGGGATAGCACCACACATTTCACTACACGCTAATATAATTATGCGATGTATTTCCATCACCAACTCATGCTTCTCAACATTTGCTTTTGCATGCATCGTTTATTTCTATCGCCATTCATCGCATTTATTAAGTATAATGAATCATATTTGTCTTTTCCCCGTTCAAGTTTAAATAACATGCTTCTTAGCAACGATTGCCAGTATCAGGTCATGCCAGCAGACAGAAGATATTGACGTAGGAATTCGGTCATCCCAGAAGGGCCATGTTGGAGACTGTGTCGTGACAGGTTTGCTCCATGCCGGCTGTTGACCGCACCCGCGCGGTGCAACGTCGCGTGTTGTGTTATCGTGTGAGATAGCTTCGACGCCACCAGACAGTCGGCGTCCTGTGAGCGGTACGCCGAGCAGAGACATTCGACGGCTTCCAACCACCTGGACCGTGCAGAAGTTGCAGACACTGTCAACAACTGTTTTTGTGCGGCTCGCTATCTATCTGTGACTAGTTTTCGTAGAGATTTACCCGTGATGCCGGGAAAGATGTTTGCTCCAGTCTGACCCGTCTGACCAGTTTGGCCCTGGCCTCCGAGCTGACTGATGAAGCCTCCGGCCAGGTTCTGGATGAGTCCGCCGATGCCGCCTCCTGCGAAGCGGGTCGGCGGGCCGGCCGCAGTCAAAAGGCGCGAGATGGTGCCGACGGGACGGCACGGGGCGGGGCGGGGCGGGGCGGGGCGGGGCGGGCGGGACGGGACCGGACGGACGGGACAGGATGGACAGGACGGGACGGGGCGGGCGGCGAGGACGGCCCAGGGTGGCGGGGGCGGCCCAGGACGGTCCAGGGCGGCCCAGGGCGGCCCTCTGGCTCGGTCCGGCAGCCTCGGCACCGGCACACCCGACACCCGACATACGTCGGCGACGGTGACAAGGCAGGCACACATCACCGACAGTCTGAACGCGTGCCGGCCGCTTGATATGAACGGATGGAAGTAGTTTAAAGTCCTTGTTGCGCTGCTCGTGCAATATGTCGCCCTGTTCTTGGGGGCGTAATTCAGGACTGTGTTTTAAGCACGCACATTCACTTTAGCGTAAGGGGTATATTACAGGGTGGTGCTGCTGTTGAATAAGGCGCTGCGTGTATGTAAATAAAACGACTTCTGAGCGTTTTTTAAGATGTGTTTTTGATTCTGGTATTCTCAAAAGTGCCTCTGTTTAAAAATGGGTATACTGTTACAGCACAGCTCATTTCTAAAGTCATCCAAGCCTTCTAACTTCAGCATCATGTGTTTGAATGTTGTTCCTCGTGCTGACAGCCTACCGTATTCACTTTCTTGTTCAATGCCCTCGCTTTATCTATTTATTTAAACGAAAAACGAGTGCGCAACGACAGTGCCTTTTTGCAGTGCCATGGAATAGGATAGATGAAAATGATATATACATATACACGCACATATATATATATATATATATATATATTATATATATATATATATATATATATATATATTATATAATTATATATGTGTGTGTGTGTGTGTGTGTGTGTGTGTGTGTGTGTGTGTGTGTGTGTGTGTGTGTGTGTGTGTGTGTGTGTGTGTGTGTGTGTGTCTGCGTGTGTGTGTCTGCGTGTGTGCGTCTGCGTGCGCGTGCGCGCGTGCATGTGCGTGCGTTCGCGCGCGCGCGCGCGTGTGTGTCTAATACCTTTTGTTTGTATTGCGATAAGGTGCATTGTGTTGCAGTCCACTTCATACCTTTGTCAAAGTGAAAGCGAACGTGCAACGCCGGTGGCATTTTTCGTAGCCATGTTTCCACACCACTTGTGCATATTTACAGTGTCACATTTTCGGATTTCATACGACATTTGAAGAATTCGAACAGAATTACACCACAAAAAAACAGGGCACCGCATGATCAGGACCGCCGGAGGAACGCCGTCTACGTTATGGCCCTTATTCCACGTGATAACGATATGTTTTGGGGCCTTTCCTCGCCACAGCCATTTGGACTTGAGATTAAGATCTGTCGAGGAACTAAATGAGCCACATTTTCTTGTGATGGAGAACTTGTCATTTTTTAACTTGCCTTTGATGCTGCATGTCTACTCGCGCTCCTTGTTTTCGAACAGCCTTCGCACGGTTGGCAACAAATATAATGAACTACGAGTTTGAATACCTTCAAACGGAGTGCGATGTAACCATCATCGAATAAAGCCAGCAGCTCAGCAAACAGCTAGCTGACCGACGCGCTGGTGGCCGGTTTACAACCTTCGAAGCCCGCATCAGGCAGGAGCAGATGGGCAGATGTGTCGTGCATCGACGGCATAAACACATCCAATGGCATGGTATGATCAAGAACATCGGGACAACTCCTGCTCTGTCATGCCTCTCACGCCTCGTCAATTTAATGGCAAGGTATGATCAAGAACATCGGGACAACTCCTGCTCTGTCATGCCCCCCACGCCTCGTCAAAGCACATGGACATCGGGACAACTCTTACTCTGTCATGTCCCCCACGCCTCGTCAAAGCACATGGACAAGGCATCCTCAAACCCAGAGGCTGCGAAAATAACGTGCCCGAGACCCTGCATGTAGCCTCATTAGATCGCGAACGTTTCAATAAATTGTTCGGTTCGTTCCAACTTGTACCGATTCGTTCACTTGAGACGTGTGAAAAAGCGATGTGTCCATTTGGACAGCTGACAGTTCTAAAAACCTAACCTTGCAACTTGAGCTTGAGAAAACAAAAACGCAGGTGAGCGGGATGGATAAGCAGTCTCTGCATCTATATAAAATATGCCTCATGCTTGTCGACATGGACGTGAGATCCCAGAACTTAGCCAGGCCAGCAAGACCTTGAGGCTTATATTTTGAAAACGAGGCTTCTTAACCCTGCTTTGCTTCAGGTGAGCTTGATATAGAGGAGAAAGGCAGCTCCTAGTTTTTTTCGGCATGATGAATTCAAGGCTCCTGCGTGGAGTTGGCGACCCTGAATATACCGGGAGCTGCGAGTCAAACAACGTTGTAGTGCTAAATAAGATTGAATTGACGGTTCTATAGTGAGAGGTATGCTCAAAAGAGGTGTAAAAGAATAAATAGAGAGAAGTGTGCTCATCCTCAACAGATCAGCACAACTCGAGATGAGCATCTCAAGAGATGCTTACACTCAGGAGGAGCACACTTCTCCGAATGACCGCAGCTCGAAATGCTAAGTACCGTCAATGTGATCGTGATTTAGCACTAACGTCGTTTAACAAGGACCTCCAGGTATATGGAAGGTCGTTAACGCTCCCTAACAACTTTTAACATTTTTACCTCAGGTTAGTCAATTTCCAATGCTCTCCACCAAAATGGATCCCGAAATATCCCACGGCAAAATCTGAAATTGAAGTCTTTACCCTAGAAGATCCGTTGACAAACACACTTTTAAAGTAAAGAATCTTGAACGTCAGAGGACCTTGCGGAAATGGACAAAACGGACCCGCCATCCCTAAAGTCCTTTGGGACTTTTCCAATAGAGCTGCGATTCTGAAAGGCTTTGCATCAGACATTCACAATCCAACACGGGAAACACACCGCCGGGCTCCACGCCCGTCCGCCTGCCTCAGCAGAGCTTCGTATCCGTACAGTTGAGGGTCGTCGAAAGAACTGCCTGCTTTTCAAGTGAACACACAGCTACAGCATCAGTGAAGAGCATCGGTCCAACAGCGGCCGGGCCATTTACCTGGCCGCCTCTGGGCCGCGGCGGTCGTCAGCAGGCAGCCCACGACAAGGAGGAGCTTCATGATGTTCACGATCAGGGAACCGGCGCCGACCAGTCGTCTCGAGCTCTCCGCTCGCAGTGCGGCGGCGGCGGCGGCGGCGGAGGTGGTGGAGGGCCGCCAGCGCCGCGGGCTAGAGCGGCGCTCGGCCTCTCGGTGCCGGCACACGTTCAGGGAACTGCGCGCCGTTAATGGGAGCCGTTCCGCACGGTGTTGGGCAATACCGGGGAGGGTCAGCCAGACGGCAAGAAGGACGGCTCGCGAGAAGGGATGACTCGAACGTAGGAGTTTGGACGGGGCTGGAGGGGGAGGGGGGGGGGGGGGCGAGCAGGGCGAGGTGATAGTGGAGGTGACACCGGATTGTACTAGTGCGCGCGAAGGCCATTTTTTGTAGGCTTCTCAAAGTGTCGGTTGACGCCACAGCACCCGGGTAGTCCGCATCTAGGGAAGACACATCTGATTGGTGCAGATAGGTGCGAAACACCTGTCAAGTTTTGTAACAATATCATGCCGAGCTATCGACTTCGTTTCACTGTGGCATAAATGGCAGGCACTACCCAGAATGCTAACACATTAACACCGGACAATACTACCATCCAGAGGTGAAACCCCATATGCTAATTTCTAGTCACTTAGCGTTTTTTATACTATCTGATTTGTTTTCTCATGTTACAGGCGGATATTTAAACCAATAGTTGAAATTTTCACATACTTTTAGCTAAAAGAATTGGCTAAAGGTTTGTGAAAATTTCAGCCGATTGTTTGAATTACTGAAATCAGCATGAGTACATGAATCACATGACATAAAAAGTGCAAAATGGCTGAAAAATATTATCTAGGGTTTTACCTTAGGACGGCAGAATAGCCACCGGTGCATTGTGCAATAATATATAACGCAGTGAGGCTTCATAAAGGTACATATAAATATATGCATTTTACCGTAACAACTTGCTGCGTGTTTCTCGTGCAGAACTGGATCTTCTCGTCCCGGCCAAGACGTACACCCAATCAGATGGATCCTAGGACCCTTGTTCCGGACCACTCCCCTCCCCCCATCTTCCTTTCCTCCACGATAGAACGTGGGTGTCCGGAATCTGTACGTGCGGTCCAAGCGTGTGCCTGCAGTCGACCACTTCCGCCAGGCCTTCCATCTCCAGCCTTTCGAAGATGTCGGGTTCACACGCGCGCGGCCACAGCAGCGTGTCTGCCGGACGCGGCTCCACTCTGGCCGCGCTCTTGACCGGGGTGACCGCCCGCGCAGGGCCTCCCGCCCCGCCCTGCAACTCTTCCCTTTCGCTGGCGGCCGCCGCGGCGCTGCCTCCGACGCTTTCTCCCGACACAGACCGGGCCAAGCTCGTCTCTCTCCGCACACACGGAAGAGGGCCGACTTAGTGCGGAGTTGACAGCGTACGCTCTGGCATTGGTAGGCGCTGAGAAGCGCGACGGACGAGTAAAAGGCATGGACGGCTCGGGAGCGTTACTTCACTTCATACGCGGTCTTTCCAGGGCAAACAGTGCGGGCGGATAGCCCACAGAATGAGGCGTTAGGACTGAATAGTAAGAGCGAAACACTGGTGGGTAGCGTTCTACAACCACCTTCAATATTTTTTTTCTTATTTTTAAAATTTGATCTGAGCCCTTTGAATGGATGGATTTCTGGGATCAGCGCTCACGCCAAGCAGAGCTTGTTGTGTGAGCCCTGACCCCCACCGTGCGATCGCGCAATTCCAGGCCACGGCAGAATTTAGTGGCGAAAGCTTAACGTGCCGTAACAGGCCATGCCTCCCAGGGGCAAATAAAAAGCGCCATAAAGCGACTCGAACCCACCATGCCACGGGTGGGCGTATCGGAAGGCAGACACTCGAACCAACTGAGCCAAGGGGACGGACAAATAATTAAGAGTGGATCTAATGGACAGAAAGTTCGTGTAGTAAGTAATGCATTCATGTCCGGATTTATATTGCATACGGCGAAAACGTGGCCATCAAGCAGTTCGTCATTAACACATCTGATCGAAATTTAAAGACGGTCACGTGTTCGCAGTTACGTCAGGAACACGTACCAATGTCCACATGACCTGTAAAGGGCCAATGTAAGACCTTATGCCAGGTAGAGATAAAACCGCAGCACACGGCAAAATATGACCTGTAAAGGGCCAATGTAAGACCTTATGCCAGGTAGAGATAAAAACCACAGCACACATTACTCAATCATTAGTGCGTCGAACACATCTCTGGAAACGGTTGAAGTGACCTGTAAAGGTCTTCGTATTTGCACCAGGCGATTGGGGTGACACAAGCGTCCCTTCATCACTCGTCAATAATGTGTCAAATTCAGATTTAAAACGGCCACATTGGACGTCACGACGTCAGGTGTATGCACATTTAGCAGTTCGAGGAAAAAGTGGTAAGTAGCAGGTACGTTTAATCCGCCAGTAATGAATCTAACCATGAAATAAGAAAACATCAAATGGCAGCCCGACATGCTGTTACTGCTAACTCAGCATACAGCGATGCAGTCATCACCACTGTCACCGCAACTCTCGGGGGACGTTCATAATTACCGCAAAGTAGGTATAGTTATATATATATATATATATATATATATATATATATATATATATACCTGTGTGTGTGCGTGTGTGTGGGTGGGTGTGTGGGTGTGCACGCGTGTCAGTGGGTCATATGGCTCACGAGTCATAAGGTAACGAGCCAGAACTGAATTGGCTCTTTGATTTTGCAAGTCGTGAGCCATGCGCCAGATGATTCAACACAAGCGATGGGTCTAAACTGAGCTTCACCTATACGAGTGAAAAGGCTATCAGCCATGAGCTGAATCGGATTGCAAAAATTGTGAGCCGGTCCCATGCCAGCTAAAAAAGAGTCGAGCCGAACACAAGAAAACGCCCGACAAAGCTAAGTCAATGCTGATTGGCAGGTCACACCGGAGATTTTCAAACCTTTTGGCTGCAATGGAAATCGCCTGTAAGCCGACATGACCTTTTTGCTAAAACCACATCCTGAAGGCACATTCCTACCTGCTGTCGGCCTACCCGTGTAGTGTTGGCCGACTACAGTGGTGAGGAAAAAATACTTATAATTACGCCCCAAAAGTGCAGCCCTGCGTTCACGTCATTGTGGGAGCGCTACCGGCCGGGTATGTCAATCGCTCACCGGCCGACATGACGTTTCTTGTTCGAATCCCCATTGACCTCCAACTCCTAAGCGCGGCCTGCCTGCCAGTAGTCACGTCCAGAATACCACTGATGCCGGAAAAAAACAAATACCACTGATGCTGGAAAGTCATAATCGCGCGCGAAGGGTGCAGTTGTGTACCTTCGACAGCGCTAGAGACTCGGGACTATCAGCTTCAAGTACAACACACTTGCGATTACGGACTTCGCCTTACCCGGTCGATCACCCCAGGTGCATGCCTCACTGAATGCTAGCGAGACGGCCGCGGCTGGCGACTTCCCACGTTGCGGCGTCCAATTAAAACACCTAAAACTTCGGGAAACATCTGGACAGCAGGCCTCACGCTCCGCCCAGAATGCAACTCGATCTGTTGCCCCCCTCCCCCCCCCCCCCCTGGAAAAGTCGGAGGCGTAACTTCGGGAAACATCTGGACAGCAGGCCTTACGCTCCGCCCAGCTGTTGGCCCCCCTGGAAAAGTCGGAGGCGTAACTTCGGGAAACATCTGGATAGCAGGCCTCGTGTTCCGTCCAGAATGCAACTCTACCTGTTGGTCCCCCTGGAAAAGTCGGAGGCGCCGCCCATGATCGCCCCAGTTTGCGGAGCCTTTCCACGTGCAATTAAAGCCACACACATGAATCCATCCACAGAAGCATGGTGCAACGAATGCGAAGAGAAACCCGATGGCCGCCGAGATTGGCTTTATTGTAGAGAATCGAGCACAAAACCAGATTCCGCAGCCATCATCGGTTGGATACGAGGACCAACCCGACTGTAAAAGTCCAGTAGAAAAATACGCCCAATCGGCCTATACTTCAGAACGGAATGTGCATCAAGTATTAATGGCAATGTCTTCACACATGCACCGCGTCCTGTATGTTACAGAATGAGCGTTTGATACGCGAGACGGGAGCTAACGTGCCATACCCGCACATGGTGGCGCTGGCCGCGCAGGCCCCACACGCCACCAGTGAGCGTCAGCAGTCTTAATGGACGGATAACAAGTGCGACATACAGTGAGATACAGGAACAGATTCACGGTGTGGACGGATCGATCGAGGTCACCACGCAGGCAAAACTAGGAGACTCCGGCCATTCTTCGCTATACAGTACCGGTCAAGCCACAGTGCGCTGCGTGGCACGACCTCAGTCAAGCACAGACGATGATACCCTTCCCTGCGAGGGATGCGCCAGCTTTCGAATGTTGACTACGCTGCTCACTCAGCCCAAGACGTTGACTTAGTCATTGGACGGGAATCAGCAGCACAGCTGTGCTGGCGCGCACCGTACCCCTCCCCCCCCCCCCCCCCCAATTACACACGAGTGCGCGTTACCGTGCCACAACATGATTGTAACAATGTTCGGTGCTTTCTTTCACCCAGGCCATTCGTGCAGAATTGAACGTACTCATTATCACTAAAAAAAATTTACACATATGCGGACTATCCACAACCAGGCAAAACAAAAGCGGGTTCAGACTGAACGTGTGGCAAATGTGCCGAGATTCTGTGAGCCGCGCCAATGGCTGCCGCGTAGGCGGTGGCCATTCATGGTTCAGGATGCCGGTTCAGGCGCGATCCACTGGCGGCGCGACGGTCCCCCCAAGCCGACCGCCGTCACTGAAGCCTCCGCCACTCCAAGACGTGCGCCTATCACCGTCACTGAAGCTTCCGCCACTCCAAGACGTGCGCTTATCGCCGTCCTGAAGCTTCTAGCATTCCAGGACGTATGTCAACTGCCGTCACTGGAGCCTCCGCCACTCCAGGAAGTATGCCGATCGCCGTCAACCATTGTCACTGAAGTTCAGGCTCAGCCGAGATCGACCGAAAGCACCACGCGAGCTAGACGGCGACCGCTGCAGTTGCGGCGCTAACTGAAGTGCAGATTCGGACTTTGCCGACGGATGGCGCCACGATCGCTAGTAGTCTCCCGCAGCCGCCGCGGCATTCACACTGCGAGCGATCTTCTTGTTCGTGATTTGAGCCTCGTTCCACACCAGCACGCAGAGCACGAGCTGCAGGAATGCAGCCACTACCGCTGAAACATAGGAGCGTCGCGTTCAAGACCCAGAAACTTGGAGCCCAACACGTGCCCGACCAAGCAGCCATTCTCGTCGCTAGTTGGTACATAGCGCGTCATGCCATGATAGGTTGTAGCGTTACGGGTGCAGCATTTACAGGTTTCAGCGCATGCAGCAGTAATGAGCTCCTGCACTCCGGCGCTGTTACCCCTCCGGCGCAGGGCACCCCAGAGCTGGTCCCCTGCCACGCCCGACGCACCTCCGCGTTAGTCTCGCCCGCCGCAACCCACTGGTTAGCCTTACCCGCCGGCCGCCGAAGCCCTGAGTTAGTCTCGCCCGCCGCCCGGCTACACGGTCGAGTCAAGCGTGCGCGGCTTGCCGGAGTAGCGGCCCTCCAGCTTCCGCTGCTTTATCCGGGCATCCACCAGGAATAGAGACATGTCGACAAAGGCGAGAAAGGCGGCCAGGACACCTGGCGGCACCACGCCACAGTCAGTGCACGCAGCGACACGAATCAATGATGGGCGAGAGATTGCGGAGATTACAGTGAGGGGCGGGCCCGTGATCGTTGAGTGTGAAGTGGTCTGCCATTGCCGCTGCCGCTGCTGTTGACACCGCCCAGTGCAGATTACCAGCCGACACCGGTTAGTTTCAAGCAAGCGATATCGCTTGTCATCAGCCGACCCCCGGCCACAACTGACGACGACACCCCCCCCACACGCTGAGCGCCACCAGATGAAGCAGATGCACGTCTGTCAGCGCCTCTCCTCTCTCTGGACAGCATCATCTGACGCCCACCCGCCAGACCCGAGGTGTACATAACATGCACCGCTCGCACTCCCCTGACGACTCGGCGGCAAGCCCGCCAAGGGCCCGCCAGCTGAGTGCGTCAGCGTTCCTTGCTCGCGGGGATTCAACATAAGCACAGCGCCATAACCATCTGTGCAGACGCAGACGCGTCGTCGTGATCAGCAGCGGACCCTGTCGAGCGGTACCATGTCAAAATATCAGATATATATACAATATATATAAATATAATTCTGATGCACGCATATATATATATATATATATATATATATATATATATATATATATATACATATATAATTCTAAAGCGTGACTTGAAGCAGATAGTTCACACATACCAAGAACACATGGGCTATAAAGCACCAAACAGCTCTTTTGTCGTCTATTTAACCTGCAATGCAGATGCGCTCGATTAGGAGCATGTGATTGTCCTTGTCCGCCAGCTCGATGGACAGGTCCCGAGTGTAACGGAATGACGGTGTGTGACTTGGACCTACCGAGTCCGTAGCTCCAGGAGAGGTAGTTATGCTGCTTATCCGTGGTCCATTCGTAAGAGCGTCCCATCGCGCCAAAAATGATGACCGCAAACGTGCCAAACACCCCTGTAAGAGCGCAGACGTACCACGTCACGGGGAGTCGATATCGTTACCGGAGACGACCGGCGAACGATCAGTCATTTAACGAATTGCTGCGTAATTTCGGCACTGAAAATAGGTCACAATCACTGCCCACTTCACTCTATGCATGCTTCACCCACAAATCCGCAGAAAGTCGCCACTTTCCGTCCACCCGTCATCAGAACATCCAAACACATCTATATGCAGAGCGCTTGGCTGGCAACCATGGCGTACCTGAGAGCGCCATCAGCACGGCCATGGTGCGCAGGAAGCAAACCTCGCGGTCCTCGTCAATGCAGAGGATCAGCATCACCACCAGCACAGCGCTGACGGCCGTACACAGGAAGCAAAGCGTGTAGAACATCTGCACTGCTATGAAGAATGCTGAAAATGAGGACAAGTGAGCGTGCCATGCACAGCACTGAGCCTCACCTCAAAATGGTGACTACACTTTCAGTAAAATAAGTTTTAAAGCAGCACCCCAGCCATGGGGATGGAAACTACTCAAAAATAATGCCATCTCTTTCCAGGTGTTTTGCTGAACAGGACATCATGCAGCCACAATAAAGCATATTGTTTATTCATGACTGAAATGTTTTGAAGTTAACTACAAAAAACTGGTACAACCAACCTATTAACAAACCATCCCCCCCCCCCCACCCACCCCCTCCAACAAAAAACCCAAACCTGTCCTTCACAACAATCTATAAACTATTTATATAGCATTTACATTCTGCAAATTTAGCAGTTAGGTTTCACACTTCTCCACACAAATTTCAATATAGTGGTTAACAGCACTGGTTAAAGCAGACTACACTACAGGCAACCCCAGACTGGTGGTTTCATGTGTCTGTCATTGGGGCTTTACGACGCACTGAGCTGCTGAGGCTATATGGCGTCACCTGCCTCTCACCCTGGCAGGAGGGGTGGGCACCGCAGGGAATCAAGCCCATACCTCTGGTTTCCCAGATGCGCAGTCGTTAACACAGACACGTTAACCACTACACTACTGGCAAAGTCAAATGAGAAATCATGACAGTACGATAGAGCTCGGATCAAAGCCAAAGCTGGTAACTCCAAAACTTGAGACTGCAAACAAAGAGCAAGATGCTGAATCTGAAACCAGTGTTCTTGATCATGTATATCTGAAGCCAAAGCCAGCAGGAAATTGGTTCAAACCAAAATCTCACTGCCAAGAGAGGAAACTGCAGTTTTTTATGTGAAAGTTAGTTTGTACACATACATGGAAAGGCAATTTTATGTAAAAGGTGATTTTGAATTTACCACTTGCATTTGTTTCAAGAATGGCATATAGTCAAAATATCAATATATCTATCTCTTCTTTCTTCTGGTTATTTTACAAGGAACAAAACAAACAGCACTGTCTTACCAATATGAATAGCACTCCTTGCAAATGTGCTTCACAACTTACATACTTAGGTTAGGTTACCCTTAGACCTTCTCAAGCTCTGATTCCATTACCTCATTAGAACACTGAAGTTAAGCTTTACTTAATGCACAACCTTGCATTGCAGCACACAGATAATCATCTGACATTTCCAATCACAGACCATGATTTCCCAACTTTCCCTACAGAGCATCTCTTGTGATGGTGCAGTCAGCAAAAAGTCATCTGCTGCGTGAATGCCTATGCCTTCGCCCACTAAACCAGATGCCTAGGCCTGCTATATCTGTACTTACTACATCTCTGCTGAGTACACCCCACAAACACATGTGCCAAACTTGGGCTGGCCCAAATTATGCTGAATGTTAAATCCACAGATTTATGATGAGCATATGTTGCTGCTATGCAAGACATGCCTGCATTATGCTTCATGTAAAATGAATATTCTGAAATCTGGGAAATGGCATACTACCTCTCAGTGCAATTTTCTCTTATCTAAAAGCATCACAGGGAATCAAGCCCTATGGCACAGCTCTTTAGTTGGTCCTACATGTCATGAACATTAACCAGGGAAAGTACGGTCCCAATGTTGCACCTTGAACCTGGGGCACACCACTGGCTACTGAAACCCACAAAGAGCAATGCCCCTCCAACATTGTTCCCTGCTTCATGTCAGAAAGAAACGCTTTGAGCAAATTCAGTAAATCGCCATTGATGCCATTAGTCCTGAGCTTGGAGATCAGAGACGTGTGTGACGACTTGAAGGCGTTCCTAAAGTCCAGGTATGTGTCATTAATCAAGACATCCTCATAAAGCAGCTCAAAAGCTGAATTCAGTGTGAATGAAAACTGACTTGAGCCACACTAAAGAAAAGCCAGGTTGAAATTAAAACTGTTAATGAGGAACATTGCTGAGGAATCAAAGGATGAGGAAAACCTACATAAACATACATTCTGTTAAGACTATGGGTATCAATAGCAATTTTTCTCATAGCTTGGGATCATAGGATGCAGACCACAGCTCATGAACAGAAATATTACTTACGGGGTGTCAGATGACCTCTGATCTCTGAGTAGCCTGTGGTGTATGCCTCAAACAGCCAGCGGCAGCCACTGAAGAACTGCCGTAATGATGAGTCTTGTGGGTCTGGCAAGCTTCTAAAACAATGTACCCAAAGACCCATCTTTTCCAGCTTTGCTCCATAGAAGCGATCATCACTGGCAAGCCAATTCTGCGTGCTGAACGCCAGCACCACCAAAACGAACGTGAGAGCAAGGAGACCAACGGCCCATTTTCCAGCTAGACTTCGATTCTTCGTCATGCTTTGAAATTTGCTGGTCCACGAAACAAAAACTTTACTAGATAGGAAGAGAAAAACAAGAAATTAAGATTAAAACGGCTCCGCCACTACCCACAACCAAGCCAGCAAGCAACAAAACAAATCAAACGGTGACGCCCGCGCTGCATTGGTCTACCTTGACCCAAAACCCAACCCACTAATTTACCAGTGGCTATGCATTTTTTGATCATTTTACTTCATTCATTATTTAAAAATCTACCATTTTCAACAGCCATTAGTTTTAAAAATATAGATACAGTATAAAACGAATGTAACTAAACAAAGTTTGTATCATAAGAAAATTGTGCTCTGCATGCACAACATTTATTACGTCATGAAAGTCCTATTTTGAGACCATATATTTGGGACGCCATAACCTACAGCCTTGAGCGGTACCACAACGAACGTCTTGTGCCGCATCGCGGCGCAGGAGCAGAGGCGAAGCACGGCAAGTATTATTCCCGGCGTGCACCGTTCCCGGTCGCGTCCCACGGGGGTCCTCCACGTGCGGTGATTTGTGGAGGTGAGCGTCGCGGCTGTTGTGTTGGCGTAGCAGTGTGTGAGGCTGTTTGAAGGTGGTGAGGCACGGTTCGAACCAGGGAGCACGTGGCCCCACCGGTGTTCTCCAAGTAGACGTCACTTATTTTTCAGGGATCAAAAACACTAGGTTTCGATCATGCGATCCTCTTGAAAACTGGTCGAAAGGGTGCTTAAGAGATATTGTTTTGGAAAATCATGCTGGTTTTACCATAAATCCACTTATATGTGACATCAAAAATGCTTGTGCAATGACACCTCCGAGCAACAGTCGGGGCATGCATGTCACCACATAGATCTGAGGTTATTACACTCTCATGACCAATTGCAGCATTTATAGAGCCGAATTTTCAAGAAATTATGATTATTTAAAGTCACAGTCAGACCAAAAATGTCCCACTGCACTGAGTGAAGTGGCATCTACCATTGTGGCCCTCAAGTGACATAGGTGCTTTCAGTGTGGCTTGGGCATACATGTGTGTCAATATTACCTCAGGCTCAAGCATGGATGTATGTCACATTGCTTTTGTAAAATAGTGTTTGGAGGATTTTTCTGAAAATTGCTATTGCAGCCTTCTAATTCTTGGAAGCATTGTCTCTGGTTGCACTGAAATCAGTGGCAACCATGTGTCAAACCCACAATGCTCATTTTCATAACATGCCTGTGCTGGATTTGTTTCCTCAATCTGGCCTCAGCACCAGGCATCTTCACAGTTGGTTTAAATGCATTTTTGTAGTTGGCATGATATTACTGTTCTAGAACATGTCTTCATGTCAACAATAATCATAGAACAGCAGGATTACACAGTCATACTTTCAAGACCAGATGCGGTATCACAAATGGGACTGTGCATGCATTGATATGCATTGCATCAGATCACAGATGACACTGCTTGCTGATTGAATGTGGTAAGTTATATAATAAAAGGGTAACACAATCTTGACGAGACGCATCATATGCAACATGGTTTGTAAGGCCTAGCTCCATACTTTAGTAGACAGCTGCACTCTGTCAGCCATAAAAAGAAAGGCTGTATATCAGTGTTCATCTGCCTACTCCTTTGCCTGATTCACTGTCCAATAGACCACTGCCCCAGGCAAAGGGATATTCTAGTCATGGCCAGCATTGATGAACTAAAACAATATTCCTCTTGATCCTGATGGTCACTTTTGATTTGCAGAGCTTTGTGGATGTTCCTGTGCCGAACCATTTTCACTAAGTGAATGGTTTTAGGAATAAATGTGATGCAAGGTTGGCAATGCGTAGCTTATGTTAGTGGCCAGAATCCTTTTTTAGCATCTTTGTAAGTAGGGCAATGACAAGCATAAAAAACAAGGACTATCTGGACAGGATTCATCACTGATTTTTGGAACTGTTCTGTACAGCTGACCCCCCAAAATTTCTGCAAACTTTTATGCTATATACTGAAAAAGTATATACTTTTTCATAAGTACTACTAAAAAAGTATATACTTCATAGCTTGTGTATTGGCAGAAGAGTGTTGCATGGGGTTTTCCAGACAGTTATACCACCTCTGTTTCCCCAAAGATAGTTTTGCTCTTGGAGTTCACAGTGGTTTTGAGTGGTGGGTTAGCTATGTTCCCTTTTACTCCCTGAGCATGCTCAATATTAATGCTGTGATGATTAATTGAAAGAAAAATATTAACATCATTTCCTAGGTCTCAATGTACAGGCTATTGATGGGCCCTTGATCAGCCATATTATCTCGATGTATGTATTTTTCAGTGAAGAAAACCAGTAATTTGTTGTATTGAAAGCATAAATAATGGATTCATCAAATGTCCCAGCTGTGGGACCAACAAAGAAAGAAAGAAGGAAGATGCGCCAGGCAGGCAGAGTCCCACACAAGCTCAAAGAGCTTTCTGCAGCTACGAATGTTTTGAAGAGCAACAAAAAGAAAAAAACAAGCAGGCAGCCATGGAACAGGCCGAGAGATGTTGAGGATGATCCATTCCCAGGTGAGTGGCAAACACAACCAAATGGTGCATGGTGTGGACCACATGCAAAGTTGTCACAAATGTTTGCTTTTGTGTGGTGATATTGTGTGCAGTTTTGAATAAAATAGATGGCTGGTGTCATCTGAATGGGCTTGCTTATTTTGCTAAGCCTGGGAAAAACAACAATAGCTTGTGCCACTTGCATGGTATGAGCAGTGTCTGTTCAAGAAGTCATGCAGAATGATTACTGGTCATAATTACACCCAAACCAATGATTCATTAGGTTGACTTTGTAACACAGCCATGTGTATGTGCCGTACACCAGAGCGTAGCATGACGCGAGTGTCCGGTGCGTTCGCCTGTACCCTGCGTAGCCCGCTTCCGGGCGCGTTCCCGGGTCGCCGCCAGCGGCGTCCGGCCGGCGCACGGACGGCTCTGACCGACTCGCGCCACACCAGGCGACGTGCCACACTCAGACGCACGGCTGGACAAGTACGACTGGGGCGACGGCCTGGACGTGTCGGCCGTACGGCGCGGGCCGCACCAGCAGCGCGCGCGCCGGCGCGAGCGGCTGGCCGAGCAGGCGCTTCATCAGATGGCCACCAGCGAACTGCTGCTGCAGGAGGAGTCCGGGTCAGTGGAGCGCGCCACGTTCGCCGCCAATCGCCGCGGCCGCAGCCGCAGCGCGAGCTGCTCGCCCCGTGTCGCTTACACGTAGAGGGGGATGAGCCTAGACTGTCACGTTTTGTCTTCAGATGCTGTAGATGTGGTACGGGGGAAAGAGATTCTCGTGGCTAGAAGATGGATCAGGAGAACTCCCATTTGTCGCGGGTTCGCGAGTGGAGAATTCCCTGTGCATGCTGCACTTTTCGAAAGAGACGTTGTGACCTGATAAATGGTTTGTTGTCGTCCTGACCATCGTATATGCTTCTTCTTCCATACCTTAAGGAAGTCCAAAGTAGGCTGCGCCGTCTGATCTGCTCTCCTATCCCTCTGGCTTGTCACGACACCTGATGTCTTGCGGTGGAGTGTGGCGGGCCCGCCGTGTGTCACGCCTGAACTCTTCCTCGCTCGGCAGGTACCTGGAGGCGGACGAGGGCGAGGACACTGTCGATATCTCGCAAGAGGAGATCGTCGGCGCCGTCGACATCACGTCGGCGACCAAGCGGTTCGACCTGCGGCTGCGGGAGTTCGGCCCGTACAGCGTCGACTACACGCGGAACGGACGCCACCTGGTGATGGGCGGCGCGCTCGGCCACGTGGCCGCCTTCGACTGGGTTACCAAGCGGCTCATGTGTGAGGTTGCCGTCGGAGAGTCCGTACACGATGTCAAGTGAGCGCAGCGAACGCGGCGACCAGAGCCGCAGGGAGGTTATGGCCGTGGCAGTCATGGCCACAGGGAGGTTGGGGCCTGACGGTAGTAGCCGCAGAGAGGCTGGGACCGGGCGGTTGTGGCCGATGGGAGGCTGGGGCTGTTAAAACGATGACTCAGGGGAAGCTGTGGTAACGGCTGCAATTGCTCTAGGAATACGAGGGTCGTCGAGATCTATCCTTAAAACGTGAGCGGCGCACCTGTCGTAAACTGCAATGACATTTGTGTTGTTGGAGTGGAAGAGTGTGAATAGGGAACATCAGAACAGTAAAGCCCCGACCGTTCGTCGGGCCTCCATCGCGGCAGAATAGTGTAAGCAACACTTTGCCATATTTTGGCACCTTGAAAGTGTTAGGAATGAGAGTGTTCTACATTTGTGTAAGGTTTTGAATAGAATAGCCAGCTTGAAGGTCATCCGATGCAGTTAACAGCCCTACCTTTCTTAAGATCTAAGTCTCCCTAGTTTCTGAGCCACCCGCCCGCTAAGATACGCAGCCTGTTTCGTGCAGACTATTCATGGTCACTTAGACGTGCATTACGCCACAGAGACGTCATTCGAATGCTGCCACCCCATTAGGCATGCGGCGTGCAAGGCAAAGAAGAATATGATCGTCAAAGTACTCGTGTATGGCGTTTTGTGAGCACGGTTTTCAGATATCAGGTACTTTGTTTGCATCTCGCCCAGTGTTGTGAAGCATTGTAAGATTCAAACACGAATCACGTATTGTGGTGCATAATGCAAGAAGTTGAGCATGGGCACGAGACATTACAGAAATGAGATGCATAATAAGACTTGTAAATATAAAACTTGTAAAGTGAGGCTGGTGATTGCTTCAGAGTTGCGCCATAACTGAGCATGTGAATACAAGTAAACAACAAACTCACGGATAAATATGCAGGAATCCGGCGAGAAGGGCCAACAACACGAGCCCATAACAATATCTGCTGTAGCAAACTCGTCTAGCGCCGCCACTACCATTTCTCGCCTGGTTAAGGTACTACAATTTGGTGCCGGGGCGGCACACACGGCCAGTTCAGCAATATCTCTAATTTTATACGGTTGTTCCATGGCGCAATCAGACAATGCCGTATTAAGGAACATGTTCCCTGAATGGATAAATTGTGTTGTTCACGAGCAGTCTTTCACTTCGATATACCAATAGTTGCAAGTGAGACAGTTTCATGACACCTTCAAACGTGGAACATTCCCTTCAACCAGATTGATATAGATTGCCGTGGAAGTGAGCTACTTTGAATTTAATGTTTTTGGCTGGTGCTGGAAAGAAGTGCTTTGGTGTCTTTCTCCTGAGCAAGATAATAATTATGGGCAGCTGCCACCGCCGCAGGTAACTAAAAAGTCATTCACCGTGTCGGCCGCCCCAGCGCCTGTCGCTGCCGTGTGATCGAAGGTCTCGTGTGTATCACTTCACGTGTCCCGTTTGTTCTCAGGTGGCTTCACAACGAGAACATGTTCGCGGTGGCACAGAAGGAGTGGGTGTTTGTGTACGACAGCCAGGGAACGGAGCTGCACTGCCTCAAGAAACTCTACCGCACGCTCAAAATGGAATTCCTGCCGTACCACTTTCTGCTGACAACCTGCGTGAGTTTTCCCTCACGGCCATTGGCTGACACGAATAGGCCGTCTTGGGCTTATCTGATGTGCCTGTTTTCTTCTCTACCCTGCTATTGCATGCTCACTATTTAGCCTTCAGCAATAATCAGCGCGTTGTTGAAATCTCTGACGGCTGTATACGCAGGCACTGAGCGGCCGACTTACCCGCTGGGGCAGGGGGGGGGGGGGAGGAGGAGCTGGCCACCTGGTGTGCGGCTTCCCACCATGCCTCTCGCCCTTCCCCTGACCTTCGCCCTTAAAACCAAGTGTGGCCATCTCAGCTAGCTGTCATTGACGCTGACCGTGTCCTCCAGAGCGAGCGCGGCCATCTCAGCTGGCTGCCACTGACGCTGACCGTGTCCCCCCCCCCCCTCCAGAGCGAGCGCGGCCACCTCAGCTGGCTGCCATTGACGCTGGCCGTGTCCGCCTCCAGAGCGAGCGCAGCCACCTCAGCTGGCTGTCACTGACGCTGACCGTGTCCCCTCCAAAGAGCGCGCGGCCACCTCAGCTGGCTGCCACCGTGTCCCCTCTAAAGAGCGCGCGGCCACCCCAGCTGGCTGCCACTGACACTGACCGTGTCCCCTTCCAGAGCGAGCGCGGCCACCTCAGCTGGCTGCCACTGACGCTGGCCGTGTCCCCTCCAAAGAGAGCGCGGCCACCTCAGCTGGCTGCCACTGACGTTGACCGTGTCCTCCTCCAGAGCGAGCGCGGCCACCTCAGCTGGCTGCCACTGACGCTGGCCGTGTCCCCCTCCAGAGCGAGCGCGGCCACCTCAGCTGGCTGCCACTGACGCTGGCCGTGTCCCCTCCAAAGAGCGCGCGGCCACCCCAGCTGGCTGCCACTGACGCTGGCCGTGTCCCCCTCCAGAGCGAGCGCGGCCACCTCAGCTGGCTGCCACTGACGCTGGCCGTGTCCTCCTCCAGAGCGAGCGCGGCTACCTCAGCTGGCTGGACGTCAGCACGGGCAAGATGGTGGCGCAGACGCAGACGCGTATGGGCAGGCTGGGCGTGATGTGTCAGAACCCGGCCAGCGCGGTGGTGTGCCTGGGTCACGCGCGCGGCGTCGTCAGCCTGTGGACGCCCGGCCTCTCGGAGCCGGCGGCCAAGGTGCTCTGTCACCCGCACCCGGTGCAGGCGGTGGCCGTCGACCACAGTGGCGTGTGAGTGACACTGCGGGCGAGACCGGCGGCTGGCGGCGTAGACGACGCGCTGCGGCCGAGCCGTCATGGCTAGCTGTACACCTCGTTCCATGCGGACCAGGGGAGCGTCTTGTGCGGACGCGGATGCGCGGCCGCGATTAGCATGCAAGGAGCTGTTTGGGCGATCCGCTTCCGTACGCTGGGCTACGACCTCTACACTGGGCTAGGTACTTGGCTACTCACCAACCTGTACCGCCTAGTTTGGTCGACCTGTTCTTCCGCCCTGGGTTAGGTACTGGGCCACCGTCAGCGGGCGCGCTGCACCCAGCGTGTCTGACCCGTCCCGTCACCGTGTCTGAGGTACGTGCGCCCAGTGTGTCTGACCCGTCCCGTCACCGTGTCTCAGGTACATGCGCCCAGTGTGTCTGACCCGTCCCGTCACCGTGTCTCAGCCACCGTCAGCGTGCTTGCTCCGCCCAGTGTGTCTGACCCGTCCCGTCACCGTGTCTCAGGTACATGGCTACGGCCAGCGTGGACCGGACGGTCAAGCTGTGGGACTTGCGAACCTACGGCTGCCTGCAGTCGTACCGGCTGGGCGCCGGGGCCAGCCACCTGCAGTGGAGCCAGAAGCACCTGCTGGCCGCCGCCGTCGGCAACACGGTCGAGGTGCGGCGCCTCTCATTGGCTGATGGAGACGGCTTGTGCCGTGGCTTCTCCCAGCTGTTTTGGTCAGATACTGAATATCTTGTGCTTCGTCGGTGTGTGTTACACTTTTAACAAATGACGCGTGATGTCTGGTGTGTGTATGCGCACTTCCTCTTCAACACTTTGGGTGGAGGGTGTCGAGCTTGTGTAGTAAGCTAATCAAATGCGAGGCTAATGCGGTACATTATCTGGATGTGAGTATTAATCTATGACTGGGCCTTCCTGGGCACATGGTTTGAAAAATATTGAGCTTGGTTGCATGGTTCATACATTCCAAAACGATGGACCACCCGGGAATCACTTATCGTAATCATGGTGTTTTGCGCGTTTTTTCACCTGGTGACTGATGGTGTGGTGACGCCTGTTCTTTTGGTGGCAACCGCTGTGATGACACCTGGTGACCTGGTGATACCTCTGATATGATCACACTTGCTCACGTGGTGACCGTTGGTATGATGACGCCTGTTCACTTGGTGACCAATGATATGATGGCGCCTGTTCACCTGGTGACCGATGGTATGATGGCACTTGTTCACCTGGTGACCGGCTGGTGTGGTGACGGCTGCGGTGGTGACCAGGTGTACCGGGACTGCGTGTCCACGCCGCCGGACCGACCCTACCTGCGACACCGCATGTCGGGCAGCGTCAGTGGCTTGCAGTTCTGCCCGTACGAGGACGTGCTGGGCGTCGGACACCGCGACGGCTTCACCAGCATACTGGTGCCCGGTAGGTGGCGGTGCCAGCGGCGCACGCGCGCAAAACGTGGGGCGTGTGGCCGGCACACGTGAGGCGCGAGGGACAGTGGAACACGGCTTCTTTGTGGGGTGTGCTCTTCAGCGCTGTCCCAGCAAGCTTTATGTGCATGATGCAGTTGAGACGAGAGCGGAGGAGAGGAGCGTGTCACGTCGAAAGGACACGCACGGAGCGCGTCACGTCGGAAGGACACACACGGAGCGTGTCACGTCAAAAGGACACACACGGAGCGTGTCACGTTGAAAGGCCACACGGAGCGTGTCACGTTGAAAGGACACGCACGGAGCGCGTCACGTTGAAAGGTCGCATACGGAGCGTGTCACGTTGAAAGGACACACACGGAGCGTGTCACATCGAAAGGACACGCACGGAGCGTGTCACGTTGAAAGGACACACACGGAGCGTGTCACGTTGAAAGGGCGCACACGGAGCGTGTCACGTCGAAAGGACACACACGGAGCGTGTCACGTCAAAAGGACACGCACGGAGTGCGTCACGTTGAAAGGACACGCGCGGAGCGTGTCACGTGGAAAGGACACGCACGGATAGATCATGTCGCGTTGCTCGTCTCGAGCTTTCCATGCGAACTCTCAGTAAATAAGTTCCCAGAGGTTCCATAGTGCCACTTGTTCCTTCATGTGCGTATGAGCGTTTCACATTTATCCAACACTAGTGAAATATTCCGGTGTGTTTGTCAGCTTCCGAAATTAAACATTTGCTGTTAACACGTGAGCGCAAACGTGGTTTGAGAGGGGCGAGATGAAAAAAGATGATCGTGATCTGCTGTTCGTAAAACCTGTGGTGAGACTGTGTTAGAGGTTGGATTCGGCTAGGCCAGATTACATGTTTTTAATCGTTATCGTCTGTGGTAGCAGCGGTCTTAATGCCAGCACAATTGTGTGATTAAAGTGCTCTGTTCACGCACAACGAGCTTGTTGCATTGATGCCCGCATGTAGAGGTGAACATTGGTTTAGTTCGCTTCCATCTCATGCATCTCGTTGCCAAATATGGTCAGGTGTGTCGCGATACTACCCAGAACGCTCGGCGTGATGGCGGCGGTAGTTTGCGGCGCAGTTCCAGTCACGTCTTACGGTCGAGCGGGCCGCTCTGTTTCGGCTCAACCGCGCCGACAGATTGATATAAGTCACGACTGGCTGAACGCTGCCGACTATTTCTGTTGGGTCTGTGTGGGCGTCGTATCGAGCGCTATGTGCGTCTATTATTAATGAATGCTGTCACCCTAATATTTACCGCTGCTTACATAGTATGCAAGGCTCCGAATCTCTATCGTTATATCATCGTTGGCATGCGCCTGGGAGTGGCCTGGCGAAAATATGCCATCGGCCGACGTGGCATGCGGCCCGTAACGGCGGCGCTGAGCTGGGGCAGACGGGCCGCCCGATTGAACTGTAAGCAGCTCACGTCACCGCGTGGCCGCCAGCTGGCCGGCTGGCAGCCGGGCGAGGTTTGGCAGCGCTATCGGGCGCCGGCGGGCCCGGAATGGCCTCGGCCTCCCCGGCTTGTATATGCCGCTAATCGCACGCGGAAATGGATACGTCCAAAGCGATGCGCGGTGGGGCGGCCCTATCGGATGTTTATCTGGCGCCCGAGCCACTGGAGGCCAGCGAGCGGCGGCGGCGTCCGGCCGTCAGCTCACGTGACCCCTCCGTCTGCCCCCAGGCGCCGGCCAGGCCAACTTCGATGCGTACGAGAGCAATCCGTACCAAACGAAGAAGCAGCGTCGCGAGGCCGAGGTCAAGCAGCTGCTGGAGAAGGTAGGAGGGCGCCGCTGTGGGCCGGTCCCCGGGGAGGCGAGTGTGCGGTGGGGTCACGCCAGCTCTCGCTCCTTGGGGAGTGAGAGGGCGCTGGACCCACGCCAGCTCGCGCTCCCAGGGGAGGCCCAGACACGTGCAGGTCCGCCAACGGACGCCTGGCGGGGCCCGCGGTGGGACGGACCCCGTGCCGCCCTGGGGGCGCGGAGACGGACCAGACGGCCGGCCGCCTGTCCGCCGGGCCAGGGCGTCCCCCAGTCTGTAGCGCTTGTCAGCTGCTCCGGGGACCGGGGAGGGGCACGGCGTCCCTGTGAAGCTGCACCAGCTGCTCCGGGCATGGGAGCAGGGCAGGGCACATCCCGCTTTTTAGCGGTCAGATTCCTCCTGGACGCGCCGTTGAGAAGCGGGGCGGGCGTCGCCTGGCCTGTACCTATTAACCGCCCGGGAACCGGACGCTAAGTGGACTGAGCGCGATGGATTTCGATAGGAAGTTCCCAATTGACGTGATCTGCGTTGGTGATGGTGAAGCCCGCACGCCGTGCATGCTGTGACAGGGACCGGGACAGTGAGCTGGACAGGCAATATTTCCGACCCTGTATGTCAAGTCATCTCACGCTCTGAGCTGTTGAGGACCTGGGCGGTGATCTGGACAGGTAGTATCTCGGATCCTGTATGTCAAGTCATCTCACGCTCTCAGCTGTTGAGGGGTGGCGTGCTGCTCTCGCGGTCGCGCGGTCGCGCTCCGATGGGTGCGTGGCGACCCGCGGGCGGACGCTGCGTGACAATGTGACCAGCGCGTGACGTGACGCGTGCCGCTTTGTGGCGTGGTAAGCCCGGCTGGAGGCTGACCGGCGGGGTCGTGGTCCGCCAGGTCCAGCCGGAGTTGATCACGCTGGAGCCGGCAGAGCTGGGCCAGGTGGACACGGCCACTCTCCAGGAGAAGGTGGCCGCCAAACAGAAGCTGCTGGTGGGTAACTCCGCTCCGTTCCCCGGCCCCTTCACCGTTCCATTCTCTCATGTTGGCGCGAGGCGTTTGGCTGAATGTATTTGGGCCTGCTGCAGTTGGGTAACGATCGAACACCCCGCCCTACGCTGCCTTGTGAAGAGTCCAATCTCACTACGCGGCTGTCTTGCCGTTCCTGGCGCATGGCGTATTAGTGGGATTGCACTATGCCATCATGAGGGTGAGAATCCGTATTCATTGTGGCACGTTCTGGCTGCGGTCTGTCTTTTGTCAGCCTCGCCCAGGCGCTGCGAGCGTCCTGCGCTGTCGGGATGGTCCAAGTGTCGTCAGTCTTGGTGATCCCAGCCGGCGGCTGGCCTGGCCTGGCCTGGCCTGGCCGCGCCGCGGCGTGACGTCTGCGCCGTGACGGCCGGGGCCGGCGACGGAGCGCGCCGCCGCCGACACCAGCTGACGTATGCGCGTCGGCCTGCTGGGCGTAAACAGGGGGCCATCTGCCGCGGGCCGGGCGCGCGCGCGCGCTCGCTCTCGCCCTCGCCCTCGCCCTCGCCCTCGCCCTCGCCCTCGCCCTGATGTCTGACACCGCTGACTGTGTCGCGCAGTACGTGAAGGCGCCCAAGATCGACTTCCAGCCGCGAAACAAGACCAAGGGGCGCAGCAAGGCCGGCAAGATGGCCGCCCGCAAGAAGGGCGTCATCGGTCTGGAGCAGAGGGTACGCGTGCTAGGATTGGGAACTACTGCGCTGTCCTTGTGTATCATACGCCATCCCCAGAAACTCCGAAATGTTACATACATTGTTCGAGCAATGTCGCAGATATTTCACTTCACTTGAAGGGCATCTGCTCCTGTTCTCTTCAGTTCCACCACTGTGCCCTGGAAAAGAGCTGGCGGGTGTTCAACACCAGCTATTGGTGGACATCCCATGCATACATTTACACGCGTTGTTCTATGCGCTGGTCAATTTCTCGGTCTTGTACCAATTCCCTGAGTTGTCTGGATCTGGTGACAAATGCTTTATCACCTGCAGCCCCATCGGTAGCAGCACTTCCACATGACGTCCGGTGTGTTTGCAGAAATACCTCAAGGAAGCGAAGAAAGCGTCTCAAAAGCTGGTGAACGCGGAGAAGAAGCCTGCAAAGTCTGCTGCGGTCCAGCGGGCGGTGCTGGACAGGTTCAAGAGGAAGCCCATGTAAAGCGGTGCTCGTCCAGTCGAAAAATATATCTCTGGAATGAACGGACCCGGTGGGACCACTGAATGGTGTCGTCAGGCTCGTCTCTTGGAACGCTTCCAAGAATGAACCGCATCCGCAAAATTGGCAGATTCCGCTCCGCCTCGCTGCCGAGCCGCATCTCTGGTGTCAGTCAGGCGCGGCCAGGCGCAGGCCCGCCGTGGAGCGCGGGACCGCCGGCCGACCGCCACAGGCGGCGCCACCAGCTGCGCCGGCGCCCGGCCGACGCGACGCTCCTCACTCTCGGCCCCGCAGCTGCGCAGTCTGTCGCGCTCGGTCGATATCGATTCGGACACGGTGCAAGGCCCGACACGGCCGCGTCCGGCGGCGGCCGACGGCCCGGGCTGGCCAAGCCAAACAGCGGGCCGGCCGGCGCGTTGCCAACGGCCGGGGAGTTCACGGCCGCCCGACGCCGCCCGCCCGGCCGGCCTCCGGACGGCGTACGCGCAGTTGGCAGGGTGGAGCCAGACGGGTGTCCTACTCTGGGCCTCCGAGCAGGTGTGGTGGGGTAGGAAGCCGGCGCCGAGCGGCCGGAGGGGCTCGTCATTCAGTGAGGGTGAGAGGGGAGCCCTCGGGGCGCGCGTCGCCCGTCCAGTCACGCGGGCGGAGCGTGGCCAGCGTCCCACCCGCCAGCCCCCAGATGGAGCAGGAGTTGGGCACGGAGGCGGGTGGGCGCTGAACCCGCCAGAGCGGGGACTACGGCCCGGTCCGGTCCGGCCCGTTGCTTGGCGGGCGCGGTACTCTGGCGCCAACCGAAGGTCACCTTCCGCTCGCTCCGGCCGACCCGGAAACACAGACGGCCATGAAATCAGCGATTGGTTTATTCTGTTACTAACATCTACAAATAGCTCACTTAAAATGGATAACATTACTTTGTTAAAACAGCGTTCCATTGCTCAGTGCACATACTGCGATGAAACACAAGCGCCGGGCTACCCAGCCCGCCGAGCGCCCCAACACAACACAAAAAGGACAGTGCGCACGCGCAACAGAGGCCAATGTAACAACTGATGGTAAAACTAGAGATGAATGAATTGGTCCTGCCTGACAAAGGTGTTGTGGACGGAATGATGCGAATTTGTCATGAAGGCCGCTGCTAACTAACGCGCTACGGTTGAGTGATACACTACGACGCCCGTCCGCTTTGTAACTGCACTGCAGCGGCGGTCGGCGCCTTAAGACGCAAACACGACCAACGGGCCCGCCGCGTCCGCTGCGCCGGCCCCCGAGCAGCCTAAAACGCAAACGGGTGCACTTTGTATAAATAAAACCGAAACGCCGGTGGCGGTTTGGTCCGAGCATGGCACGGACGACACCGGACAATAAATTACCGCCCAGGAGTCCGCCAACCCGAAAGAGTTAAAAGGCGGGCGCCGCGAGGCCCGCCAGTTAGCACCGTCTCATCAGCTACGGAGGCGCGCGCGGCGCAACCCGGCGCCGCCGGGGCCGAGGCGCGGCGGCGCGCGGGCGGGCGCGCGCGCCAGGTGGGAGGCTGCGGCCGCTCTCGGGTGCGCGCACCGCGAGGTAGGAGGAGGGAGGCGGGCGGCCCGCCGCCTAGCTGCCCGGCCCGACCGGTTTGTACTGTGGTGGCGCGCCTACCGCGCTGGCCTGCTCCGCTGCACAACGCACTGCACGGCCTCGGCCACCGCCTCGAACACGGGCACGCCTCTGCGCGTGGCCAGGTCCGACAGGTACGAGCGGCCCCGGTTGTAGTCCTTGATGGCCGTCGGCGTCAGCTGCGGGCGACATCGAGCATGGTGTCAGGCGGCGGTACGCCCAGACACACCAGCATAGACCACGCACATCCGACGTCCCACGAAGTCACGCGTGGAGAGGGAAAAACGAGGCGAGCAGATTGTGACCACGGTCAGCACATGTACGTTGCACGTACACACACCCGTGGATGCATACAGCCAGTGCATGACCCCTATATGCCAAGACGAAGCACCGATCTATACACGTGGAGAGCAGCCTCGTGAAGTGCCATTCGAGACCGAGTGTCTCGGCGCCGTACGGGGTGACGGCGCGCGGCACCGGCGGGGCGGGGCCTACCTTCTCGCCGCGGATGACGCAGTTGTCCGGCAGCATCTGCACGCAGAGGACGACGCGCGCACCCAGGCCGATGTAGTGCGCCGCCACCGTCATATGCACCGAAGCTCGTGACGTGTCGGTGATGACGAACAGCAGCTGCCGGCAGCGCTCCAGCCGGGCGGCCGCCGTCGGCGTCAGGCGCTCCGAGCGAGACGGCGGCGTCGGCGGCTCGAACGAGAGGCCCGCCTTCCTGCCGGCGGCGACGAGACGGGCGTCACGGGTCTGACCGGCGGCTGGCCGGCGACACGACCGGCGACAGGCAGAAACACCTAGGCTGGCCGCGGTGGGCCGCCGCGGCCTGGCGCAGTCCTCGCGCCGAAGGCAAAGCCGTGCAGCGGGCCACAACGCCGGACGAGCGACAACAGCCGCTGAGGACCCTTCTCAGTCGCTCTCACTGTGCGTGGCGCCTCAAGCGCCGCCCGCCCACGCCCGAGCACTCACTTGAGTAGGGGAATGGCGATGCTCTCCCGCCAGGCGGTGTCGGTGCTCGTGCCGCCGAGGTACACGTCGCGCACGTCGGCCGCCGGCGCGCTGTTGCCGTTGTTGCTGAGTTGCCGAGCCAGCCGCTGCGGCAGCACCCACTCGGCCACCCGGGTGAACGGGGTCAGCAGCATCTCGGCGGTGCGCGAGAGGACGGAGGGCCCGGACCGGCCGCGCGCCGCGCGCCATCCGCCGCTCTGCAGCTCGGTGACCAGCAGGCAGAAGTCCTCGAACGCGATCCGGTCGTTGGATACGACGCCATTGGTCCGCTCCGTCACATCTGGCGACGGCGAGGGGTGGCGTCACGGCACAGGACCGCCCGGCGCCGCGCACGCTCAAGGTGCAGCCTCTGTTGACACCCACCACGCACGGCACGATTTCTCGTCACACCGCTCACGCAGACGGGGTGAGAGGTGGCGGACTGGCGCTCACCTCGGATCTGAGCCAGCAGGAGCCTGACGTCGCTGGGGCAGACGACGCGGCCGGTGGCCACCCGCAGGGCAGCGCACGTCTCGCCCGCACTCAGGCAGCCGCGGCCGTCTGAGTCCTGGTTGGCGAACACCTCCCGCAGCCTCCTGTCGGTGCAGAGGGCGCCACTGTGACGGCCGGACCGGCGGCGTCGTGACGGCAGGTACGCGACGGCCCGCGCGCTCTCCGCCGGTCCACACTACGAGAGAGCTGGCTACCGCAATCAATGACCACAAGCTCGTGATGGGCTCAGTGCACCGAGCGTTTGAAGAAGTTGTAAAACGAAGGCCGATGCGGAACAAAAACATTGCATCACCGTCTTTTAACGGAAGGGATTACGTGTTGGGATACACAAGGATTAACTCACGGCCGCGCCAGCACATCGGTCGGTTCGGCAGGCCGAGTTTTCGGAGACTTACTGCAGTTTGTCGGCCAGCGTGATGTGTGCGTTTCGAACTGGCACGGCATTATCGTCCAGCTGTAAATCTTGTACTCGGATATCTTTTCTCAACACCTGCGACCCAAGGACGCGCGCCGTCAGAGCTCGGCCTTGGTATCAGCTGTGGGCCGAGTCCCCACTCATAGTACACCTCATCTGTCTCGCCGGCCGCCGCCCGGCCCACCGCTCGTTCTTCGCCCCCGGCGATACAGGCACGCAGAACAAACAGAGGCAGCGGATTCGCGCGAGTCACGCCGCCTTTTATCGCGCTGTCGCACAGAATAGGGGGGGGGGGGGAGGGGGGGCACGGTCCAGCGCCGCCTCGGCAGCTGACCAAACAGTCCGCAGGCGAGGCGGCCGCGGCGCAGCGAAGGGCCGGAGCGCCGCGGCTCGTCTCCGCCGAGCGTCGCGACGCGGCAGCATTGTCTCATCGGCGTGGGAGGCATGGCACGAGCGCCCCGTATCTCGCCTCGGCTGGGGACGCGTGAGAGGCCGCCAGCCAGCCGGCGCCAGCTAAACAAACACTGCAAGAGCGCCGGGGCCGCCCGGGTGGCCAGGCCCACCCCATGGCTGATGACGCCGGGATGACGTCACATCGGCGGCTGACGTCATACCTTGTCCGTGCAGTCGAGCCCCGACGAGATGGTCTCGAAAACAGGAAGCCCCTGGCGCTCCACCAAGTCTTGGAGATAGTTTTGCGTTCTATCCAGATCACAGTATTCCCTGCACGAAGAGTTTCAGTGTCACACAGGCGGTCACAGCCCGTTCAGAGGGATCATGCACGTCTTCGGGGGTGGGAGGCACTATCACGAAAGCCGTCGTCCCTTTAAAGTCACAAACGCACTAAGAAAGACCTCACTACAAAGACCGCGATAGCGGTGGTCAACAGCCAGGTGAGATAAGCCTCAACGAGGGGCCGGCAAAGCCCTGTTTGGATAGCAGCTGGTGCAGATAGCGGCACACCACGATAGCAGGTGGGCTGGGTGGAGCGGCGCGTGGTCTAGCGCCGCTATGGCGGGCCGCTGAGCGCGGCGCCGCCGATCCGCTGAAGGCTGCGGCGCAGTGCGCAGCGAGCACGGCCGCCAGATACGACCGGCCCAGCGAAGGATGACGGCCGCAGCCCCGGTCTTGACATGACGTCAGCAGCCACAGGCGCCGCCAGGCCGGGGCCACTTCCCCTTCGGTCCGCGTGTTCTTCATTTTAGCGCTCCATTAGGCCCCTCACAGACAGTTATAATGTCGCGACGAGTTCTCAATGAATTCGACTCCCTCCCTCATCCCTATAGGAATCCTGGCTGTCCTCCCCGCCAGCGCCCGTCGCCGCGCCGGCCCTGTGACCTGGGCGGGGCGCCGGCCGGTGCCGAGCCGCTCGAGTCCCGGCCCGGCTGTTGTTTCGCCGCGGCGCGCCGTCAGACCGCTGGCACGCCCTGAACGCCCGTCGCCGCGCCGGCCCTGTGACCTGGGCGGGGCGCCGGCCGGTGCCGAGCCGCTCGAGCCCCGGCCCGGCTGTTGTTTCGCCGCGGCGCGCCGTCAGACCGCTGGCACGCCCTGAACGCACATGCGCGCCTCAAGGTCGCGACGGCAGCCCGCCGAGCAGCCAAACAACCCGCCTCCTGCTGTACTCAGAGTGGGCGACAAGCGATACCATAGGGAGGGGGGGGGGGGGGCGCTCACGTGTTGGTGATGGCCTCGCCGCAGATGGTCTGGCCGGGTCCGGACAGTCGGCTGACCACCAGCACCAGCTTGCGGCCGCTGGCCGCCAGGTACGAAGCCTCAGCATGGAGGAGACGGCGCGCGTCTGGTTGTCGATGACGAAGAACAGGACGGTGGCACCCTGTTTGGCCTCCTCCTCCAGCGCGATCAGGCCCGGATGCCAGGACGCCACTTGCTGAGGGCACGCGACAGCGCTCGGTCAGCTTTCGGTGACGCACGGCCGGCCGCGGCGCCCCACCACAGCCCTATGTTTATTGTTTATTCCTGGCAGATAGCGATGATTGGCGGTGACACGTTCGGTTTGCCTCGACGGCGGCGCGACGCGCTTGGCGATCCTCAGCTGGCGGGCGGGGTGAAACGCTACCCCAGCCGCAGGGGTTAACAACGAGGAAAGGTCACGCAATTGCGACCAAGACGTCACAGCGCAACACCGTCGGATCATCAAGATGTCACAAACAATGCACTGGGAGAGTCTGAAACCGAAGCTCGCCGGGCGGCTGCAA